AAAATTTGGACTCTCTTGCAGAGGAAAATATAATTTTAATCAGTATAGGAGTCACGAAATGCGCGAACGTTTGCTGCAGACTGCCGAAATGGAGGCGGAGGATTTGCAGTAATGCGCCAGCAATGGGTGAGTACAGAGTTAAGTCAAGTTAAGGAACGTCACATAAATTAATTTCTATCCTTTGTATCTAGAGCACCGTCTGAAGCGAGCTTGACGAAAGCAAGCTGTATAACAACGTGGAGTTGGAGTCGATAGACAAATTCTTTTCGGCTTACCAAAAGAATGCGGTATCGGTGAGTGTCTCGAAGAGATTCCAATGAAAGGTCTTCCTTTACTTAATGCTCTCCTCTCTTTTCACAGGCTACCGATGGCTCCTATGAGGATCTGCGAGCAACTGGCGGCAAGCCAGCCGGGACGCCGAGCCCAGAACTGCACAACCCTGCTCAGACTGCTCAGCAAGATGAAGATGAGCTATATGGAGATATCAAAGTCCAGATCCAGTCCAAGCAGCAGCAGCAGCCGCTCAAGCTGACCGTGGTCACCCACCAGGAGCAGCGTTACATTGGACCCAACTGCCTCAACATGACACCGGAGCCGCCGCAGCAGAAGCTCATTACCAGGACCACTTCCACTCCGCAGCTAAGCGGCCTCGGCGGTGCCTCTACCAAGGGCGTGATGCAGCTGTTTATGGCCTCCCATGGCAAGCTGGTGACACCCAATAGTGCCCTGCCGCCCGTCTCGCCATTGGGCAACATTAGCATCCCAGGGAACTATCGGAATGGAAATTAGCAGCAACAACAACACCAACAGCAAAACCCTCAAGCTGAACACGCGCGTCGTTGGCCTTCCGGTCACCCTATCACCGGCAGTCATCAAGCTGGACTCAGTGGGCAGGCCGTTGGGTCGAGGGTATGTGCCCGTCGAGCAGAAGATCCACCAGGGGCTGCAGGACCTCAAGGCGCTGAAGCGCCTGAGCAAGATTAACAGGCACAACACACTGAAGGCTTCGCTGGACAGGCGACGAGGCCGATGCGGAGGAGGATGACGATGAGGACTCTGAAGTGGACTGCTATGGACCCGGAGAACTGCGCAATGTCTAGTCCACCCATGAGTTGGATAGAAATGGGCAAGTGTTAGATAAACTACGTAAAGAAGTTTGATTCTCATTGAATTTTCTTTCTTACCAACAGCATCGAGCCGGAGAACGTACACAAGCCCGCTGGCAATCGCAGCCTGAATGCAGCTGCCTCCATAGCCAATGGAGCCAGCAATGGCAGCATTAATGGAATGCGTCCGGCCATGTCGATGGACCAGCTCTGTGATCTGACGCCCAAGGAGGCGTCCTTATCGCGAGGCCTCATTTCCCAGTGGAAAGGCGGATCAAGAGGAATGCCGAGAACGGCACGGGCCTCTAACGTGAACAGCGCCAAGGAGAAGAGCCTCGATGAATGGAAATCAGCAGCAACAGCAACAACCTCAAGCCTTCCTGGAGAACGGCAACTCGAGAACGGGTATTACAACGGTCACCCTATTACCGGCAGCCATCGAGCCATCAGAGGGCAAGCCGTTGCGTCGAGGGTATGTGTCCGTCGAGCAGAAGATCCAGCAGGAGCTGCAGGACCTGAAGGCGCTGAAGCGCCTGCGCAAGATTAACAGGCACAACACACTGAAGGCTTCGCTGGACAAGCTGTGAGTACACGTCACGGCTTTCAAGAATCCTCTTATCTTACGTTTTTTCGTTTCCAGCCAGCTCAGAACAGACGACGAGGCCGATTCGGTGGAGCACTGCTGTGGACCCGGAAAACTGCGCAATGTCCAACTGTAACCGGTATGTTGAGGATGAGGCCAAGACAGCGCGTGATGCCCAGGAGAAGTTGCGCTCATCCCTGGCCAGGTGAGTTTATACTATTCTAATTTTTGTCGAAAGCTTGTAATACTGTGAAGGAGTCATTCTCGACCCTATAAATAGTATATATATATTCTAGATCAGCATCATCAGCCGAGTCGGTCTAGCTAGGGTCAGGGTCAGTTTTAAAACTATCGAAAGAGTTAGATCTTATAATTAATTTAGGCTTTTAACTTTGAGTATTCGTTTGTAGATATCCTCAATACAAATTACTGAATCACTTTAAATTAAAACTAAGTAATGGGATCCATGGCAATAAGGGAATTAATTGAAAATAAATGCATAGCCTGATCCCTCCTATAGCATCTATATATGTATATGATATAATTGTCATGATTAAGACTTACCCCAGTGGAGGACACGACATAGTTTACTTCCTTCCATACAATAATATAATTGTCATGATTAAGACTTACCTGAGTGTAGAACACGTCATTGTTTACTTCCTTCCAGTGTAGACTTCGAATCTCGTTGACTTCAATTAGGGTAGTCATAATATCGGAGATCACTTCCTGGTTATCCAGATGTATTCCGTTGGCCACGTCATTCTTTTAATCACTATCACTATCGATGTAAACACTAGGTACCCCTAGGACAGACTGAGGTCGCGGCGAACGAAGTGCCTCTATTTATAGTTCCCCAGCCAAGAGAACAGAGAAAGTGAGAGCGAGAGAGTAAGAGATAGGCAGAGAAACATACAGCGAAGAAGTTAGCTCTGAAGATGCACATTGGGAGTTGGACCTACCGGATACAAAGAGGTAGAGAGAGTAAGAGAAAGGAAGAGAGCTGTTGATGCTGATCAAGAATATGTTTACTTAATAAGGGCGTTACTGCGTTCCAAACTTTTGAGTAAAATTATAATACCATGCAAGGGTATAAAACTGATAAAATAAAATTTGGACTCTTGCAGAGGAAAATATAATTTTAATCAGTAAAGGAGTCACGAAATGCGCGAACGTTTGCTGCAGACTGCCGAAATGGAGGCGGAGGATTTGCAGTAATGCGCCAGCAATGGGTGAGTACAGAGTTAAGTCAAGTTAAGGAACGTCACATAAATTAATTTCTATCCTTTGTATCTAGAGCACCGTCTGAAGCGAGCTTGACGAAAGCAAGCTGTATAACAACGTGGAGTTGGAGTCGATAGACAAATTCTTTTCGGCTTACCAAAAGAATGCGGTATCGGTGAGTGTCTCGAAGAGATTCCAATGAAAGGTCTTCCTTTACTTAATGCTCTCCTCTCTTTTCACAGGCTACCGATGGCTCCTATGAGGATCTGCGAGCAACTGGCGGCAAGCCAGCCGGGACGCTGAGCCCAGAACTGCACAACCCTGCTCAGACTGCTCAGCAAGATGAAGATGAGCTATATGGAGATATCAAAGTCCAGATCCAGTCCAAGCAGCAGCAGCAGCCGCTCAAGCTGACCGTGGTCACCCACCAGAAGCAGCGTTACATTGGACCCAACTGCCTCAACATGACACCGGAGCCGCCGCAGCAGAAGCTCATTACCAGGACCACTTCCACTCCGCAGCTAAGCGGCCTCGGCGGTGCCTCTACCAAGGGCGTGATGCAGCTGTTTATGGCCTCCCATGGCAAGCTGGTGACACCCAATAGTGCCCTGCCGCCCGTCTCGCCATTGGGCAACATTAGCATCCCAGGGAACTATCGGAATGGAAATTAGCAGCAACAACAACACCAACAGCAAAACCCTCAAGCTGAACACGCGCGTCGTTGGCCTTCCGGTCACCCTATCACCGGCAGTCATCAAGCTGGACTCAGTGGGCAGGCCGTTGGGTCGAGGGTATGTGCCCGTCGAGCAGAAGATCCAGCAGGAGCTGCAGGACCTCAAGGCGCTGAAGCGCCTGAGCAAGATTAACAGGCACAACACACTGAAGGCTTCGCTGGACAAGCTCAGCACAGGCGACGAGGCCGATGCGGAGGAGGATGACGATGAGGACTCTGAAGTGGACTGCTATGGACCCGGAGAACTGCGCAATGTCTAGTCCACCCATGAGTTGGATAGAAATGGGCAAGTGTTAGATAAACTACGTAAAGAAGTTTGATTCTCATTGAATTTTCTTTCTTACCAACAGCATCGAGCCGGAGAACGTACACAAGCCCGCTGGCAATCGCAGCCTGAATGCAGCTGCCTCCATAGCCAATGGAGCCAGCAATGGCAGCATTAATGGAATGCGTCCGGCCATGTCGATGGACCAGCTGTCTCTCTCATCGCAAGGCCTAATTTCCCAGTCGGAAAGCCTGTTCAAAAGAAATGCCGAAAACGGGACGGTTATTGAAGCGGCAATCACTACTTTTAAAAAAGGTACGACCATATCCATTATCAGAAGCTTTTTGCAGTGTGACCAACTCATGTTTCGCTATTTTTACATCAAAGTGTGACCGCTTTGACTCTTAGCTGGTTGCCTGCAGCCATGTGCAACAGCGACGATCAGCTAACATGGGAGCATGTGCAGCATTGACTATCGATTGCTGGCATGCAACCATACGCAGCTTTGACTATCGATTGCTGGTGTGGAACCATGTGCAGCTTTGACATCCTACGTTTTGGGTTATGGTGAATGCACTCAGGAGCAGCCACAGGATCAGGATGAGCTGGATCAAGACCAGGGCGTGCTGGCGTCAGTTTGCCTTCGGTGGTACCTCTACCAAGGGCGTGATGCAGCGGTTTATGGCCTCCCATGGCAAGCTGGTGACACCCAATAGTGCCCTGCCGCCAGTCTCGCCATTGGGCAACATCAGCATCCCAGGGAACTATCAGAATGGAAATCAGCAGCAACAGCAACACCCTCAAGCCTTCCTGGAGAACGGCAACTCGAGAACGGGTATTACCACGGTCACCCTATTACCGGCAGCCATCGAGCCATCAGAGGGCAAGCCGTTGCGTCGAGGGTATGTGTCCGTCGAGCAGAAGATCCAGCAGGAGCTGCAGGACCTGAAGGCGCTGAAGCGCCTGCGCAAGATTAACAGGCACAACACACTGAAGGCTTCGCTGGACAAGCTGTGAGTACACGTCAAGGCTTTCAAGAATCCTCTTATCTTACGTTTTTTCGTTTCCAGCCAGCTCAGAACAGACGACGAGGCCGATTCGGTGGAGCACTGCTGTGGACCCGGAAAACTGCGCAATGTCCAACTGTAACCGGTATGTTGAGGATGAGGCCAAGACAGCGCGTGATGCCCAGGAGAAGTTGCGCTCATCCCTGGCCAGGTGAGTTTATACTATTCTAATTTTTGTCGAAAGCTTGTAATACTGTGAAGGAGTCATTCTCGACCCTATAAATAGTATATATATATTCTAGATCAGCATCATCAGCCGAGTCGGTCTAGCTAGGGTCAGGGTCAGTTTTAAAACTATCGAAAGAGTTAGATTTTATAATTAATTTAGGCTTTTAACTTTGAGTATTCGTTTGTAGATATCCTCAATACAAATTACTGAATCACTTTAAATTAAAACTAAGTAATGGGATCCATGGCAATAAGGGAATTAATTGAAAAATAAATGCATAGCCTGATCCCTCCTATAGCATCTATATATGTATATGATATAATTGTCATGATTAAGACTTACCCCAGTGGAGGACACGACATAGTTTACTTCCTTCCATACAATAATATAATTGTCATGATTAAGACTTACCTGAGTGTAGAACACGTCATTGTTTACTTCCTTCCAGTGTAGACTTCGAATCTCGTTGACTTCAATTAGGGTAGTCATAATATCGGAGATCACTTCCTGGTTATCCAGATGTATTCCATTGGCCACGTCATTCTTTTAATCACTATCACTATCGATGTAAACACTAGGTACCCTAGGACAGACTGAGGTCGCGGCGAACGAAGTGCCTCTATTTATAGTTCCCCAGCCAAGAGAACAGAGAAAGTGAGAGCGAGAGAGTAAGAGATAGGCAGAGAAACATACAGCGAAGAAGTTAGCTCTGAAGATGCACATTGGGAGTTGGACCTACCGGATACAAAGAGGTAGAGAGAGTAAGAGAAAGGAAGAGAGCTGTTGATGCTGATCAAGAATATGTTTACTTAATAAGGGCGTTACTGCGTTCCAAACTTTTGAGTAAAATTATAATACCATGCAAGGGTATAAAACTGATAAAATAAAATTTAGACTCTCTTGCAGAGGAAAATATAATTTTAATCAGTATAGGAGTCACGAAATGCGCGAACGTTTGCTGCAGACTGCCGAAATGGAGGCGGAGGATTTGCAGTAATGCGCCAGCAATGGGTGAGTACAGAGTTAAGTCAAGTTAAGGAACGTCACATAAATTAATTTCTATCCTTTGTATCTAGAGCACCGTCTGAAGCGAGCTTGACGAAAGCAAGCTGTATAACAACGTGGAGTTGGAGTCGATAGACAAATTCTTTTCGGCTTACCAAAAGAATGCGGTATCGGTGAGTGTCTCGAAGAGATTCCAATGAAAGGTCTTCCTTTACTTAATGCTCTCCTCTCTTTTCACAGGCTACCGATGGCTCCTATGAGGATCTGCGAGCAACTGGCGGCAAGCCAGCCGGGACGCCGAGCCCAGAACTGCACAACCCTGCTCAGACTGCTCAGCAAGATGAAGATGAGCTATATGGAGATATCAAAGTCCAGATCCAGTCCAAGCAGCAGCAGCAGCCGCTCAAGCTGACCGTGGTCACCCGCCAGGAGCAGCGTTACATTGGACCCAACTGCCTCAACATGACACCGGAGCCGCCGCAGCAGAAGCTCATTACCAGGACCACTTCCACTCCGCAGCTAAGCGGCCTCGGCGGTGCCTCTACCAAGGGCGTGATGCAGCTGTTTATGGCCTCCCATGGCAAGCTGGTGACACCCAATAGTGCCCTGCCGCCCGTCTCGCCATTGGGCAACATTAGCATCCCAGGGAACTATCGGAATGGAAATTAGCAGCAACAACAACACCAACAGCAAAACCCTCAAGCTGAACACGCGCGTCGTTGGCCTTCCGGTCACCCTATCACCGGCAGTCATCAAGCTGGACTCAGTGGGCAGGCCGTTGGGTCGAGGGTATGTGCCCGTCGAGCAGAAGATCCAGCAGGAGCTGCAGGACCTCAAGGCGCTGAAGCGCCTGAGCAAGATTAACAGGCACAACACACTGAAGGCTTCGCTGGACAAGCTCAGCACAGGCGACGAGGCCGATGCGGAGGAGGATGACGATGAGGACTCTGAAGTGGACTGCTATGGACCCGGAGAACTGCGCAATGTCTAGTCCACCCATGAGTTGGATAGAAATGGGCAAGTGTTAGATAAACTACGTAAAGAAGTTTGATTCTCATTGAATTTTCTTTCTTACCAACAGCATCGAGCCGGAGAACGTACACAAGCCCGCTGGCAATCGCAGCCTGAATGCAGCTGCCTCCATAGCCAATGGAGCCAGCAATGGCAGCATTAATGGAATGCGTCCGGCCATGTCGATGGACCAGCTCTGTGATCTGACGCCCAAGGAGGCGTCCTTATCGCGAGGCCTCATTTCCCAGTGGAAAGGCGGATCAAGAGGAATGCCGAGAACGGCACGGGCCTCTAACGTGAACAGCGCCAAGGAGAAGAGCCTCGATGACCCGCATTCTAATGACTCTGGCTTCGCGGCATCCTCGCAGAGCAACAAAAACCTCCAGTCCAAGCAGCAGCAGCAGCCGCTCAAGCTGACCGTGGTCACCCTCCAGGAGCAGCGTTACATTGGACCCAACTGCCTCACCATGACACCGGAGCCGCCGCAGCAGAAGCTCATTACCAGGACCACTTCCACTCCTCAGCTAAGCGGCCTCGGCGTTGCCTCTACCAAGGGCGTGATGCAGCGGTTTATGGCCTCCCATGGCATGCACCCTCAAGCCTTCCTGGAGAACGGCAACTCGACAACGGGCATTACCACGGTCACCCTATCGACGGCAGCCATCGAGCCGGAATCGGAGGGCAGGCCGTTGTTCCAAGAGTATGTGCCCGTCGAGAAGAAGAACCAGCAGGAGCTGCAGGACCTGAAGCCGCTGAAGCGCCTGAGCAAGACTAACAGGCACAACACACTGAAGGCTTCGCTGGACAAGCTCAGCACAGGCGACGAGGCCGATGCGGACGAGGATGACGATGAGGACTCTGAAGTGGACTGCTATGGACCCGGAGAACTGCGCAATGTCTAGTCCACCCATGAGTTGGATAGAAATGGGCAAGTGTTAGATAAACTACGTAAAGAAGTTTGATTCTCATTGAATTTTCTTTCTTACCAACAGCATCGAGCCGGAGAACGTACACAAGCCCGCTGGCAATCGCAGCCTGAATGCAGCTGCCTCCATAGCCAATGGAGCCAGCAATGGCAGCATTAATGGAATGCGTCCGGCCATGTCGATGGACCAGCTCTGTGATCTGACGCCCAAGGAGGCGTCCTTATCGCGAGGCCTCATTTCCCAGTGGAAAGGCGGATCAAGAGGAATGCCGAGAACGGCACGGGCCTCTAACGTGAACAGCGCCAAGGAGAAGAGCCTCGATGACCCGCATTCTAATGACTCTGGCTTCGCGGCATCCTCGCAGAGCAACAAAAACCTCCAGTCCAAGCAGCAGCAGCAGCCGCTCAAGCTGACCGTGGTCACCCTCCAGGAGCAGCGTTACATTGGACCCAACTGCCTCACCATGACACCGGAGCCGCCGCAGCAGAAGCTCATTACCAGGACCACTTCCACTCCTCAGCTAAGCGGCCTCGGCGTTGCCTCTACCAAGGGCGTGATGCAGCGGTTTATGGCCTCCCATGGCATGCACCCTCAAGCCTTCCTGGAGAACGGCAACTCGACAACGGGCATTACCACGGTCACCCTATCGACGGCAGCCATCGAGCCGGAATCGGAGGGCAGGCCGTTGTTCCAAGAGTATGTGCCCGTCGAGAAGAAGAACCAGCAGGAGCTGCAGGACCTGAAGCCGCTGAAGCGCCTGAGCAAGACTAACAGGCACAACACACTGAAGGCTTCGCTGGACAAGCTCAGCACAGGCGACGAGGCCGATGCGGACGAGGATGACGATGAGGACTCTGAAGTGGACTGCTATGGACCCGGAGAACTGCGCAATGTCTAGTCCACCCATGAGTTGGATAGAAATGGGCAAGTGTTAGATAAACTACGTAAAGAAGTTTGATTCTCATTGAATTTTCTTTCTTACCAACAGCATCGAGCCGGAGAACGTACACAAGCCCGCTGGCAATCGCAGCCTGAATGCAGCTGCCTCCATAGCCAATGGAGCCAGCAATGGCAGCATTAATGGAATGCGTCCGGCCATGTCGATGGACCAGCTCTGTGATCTGACGCCCAAGGAGGCGTCCTTATCGCGAGGCCTCATTTCCCAGTGGAAAGGCGGATCAAGAGGAATGCCGAGAACGGCACGGGCCTCTAACGTGAACAGCGCCAAGGAGAAGAGCCTCGATGACCCGCATTCTAATGACTCTGGCTTCGCGGCATCCTCGCAGAGCAACAAAAACCTCCAGTCCAAGCAGCAGCAGCAGCCGCTCAAGCTGACCGTGGTCACCCTCCAGGAGCAGCGTTACATTGGACCCAACTGCCTCACCATGACACCGGAGCCGCCGCAGCAGAAGCTCATTACCAGGACCACTTCCACTCCTCAGCTAAGCGGCCTCGGCGTTGCCTCTACCAAGGGCGTGATGCAGCGGTTTATGGCCTCCCATGGCATGCACCCTCAAGCCTTCCTGGAGAACGGCAACTCGACAACGGGCATTACCACGGTCACCCTATCGACGGCAGCCATCGAGCCGGAATCGGAGGGCAGGCCGTTGTTCCAAGAGTATGTGCCCGTCGAGAAGAAGAACCAGCGGGAGCTGCAGGACCTGAAGCCGCTGAAGCGCCTGAGCAAGACTAACAGGCACAACACACTGAAGGCTTCGCTGGACAAGCTCAGCACAGGCGACGAGGCCGATGCGGACGAGGATGACGATGAGGACTCTGAAGTGGACTGCTATGGACCCGGAGAACTGCGCAATGTCTAGTCCACCCATGAGTTGGATAGAAATGGGCAAGTGTTAGATAAACTACGTAAAGAAGTTTGATTCTCATTGAATTTTCTTTCTTACCAACAGCATCGAGCCGGAGAACGTACACAAGCCCGCTGGCAATCGCAGCCTGAATGCAGCTGCCTCCATAGCCAATGGAGCCAGCAATGGCAGCATTAATGGAATGCGTCCGGCCATGTCGATGGACCAGCTCTGTGATCTGACGCCCAAGGAGGCGTCCTTATCGCGAGGCCTCATTGCCCTGTGGGAAAGTCTGATCAAGAAGAATGCCGAGAACGGGACGGTTATTGAGGCGGTCATCAAGGAGGACGAACGGAAATGATAGCAGAAGCTCTTTATCAACGAATTAATTTAAACCATTAAAAAACGTGAAATAAACATACATATTTAATATATTTTTTGTTTTCATTTAAAAAAAAAAGCGTTGTTCATTGTTGTTATTGTAGGCAAAACCCAGCATTCAATTTGGTCAGTTTCTGTACTGTGGTTGCTGTAGGCGTCTGCACTAAAATTAATCTGCTTTCTGCGGTTTCTGTTCGCCTGGTATTTCAGGTCGAGAATCAGATGACCAAATTGAAATCTTCGATCGGTACAAATCCATCTAATTCTCGACCTGAAATACCAGGCGAACAGAAACCGCAGAAAGCGGATTAACTTTAGTGCAAAAGCTTTAAATTAGAGTTGTACCTTTAGCTATATTGTAGCAGAGCTTTAAATCTAGCTAGAAAAAAGCTAGTCTGCCAACGTTACATTTGAAGCTTTTTGTAGAGGGACCAGTTTATTTTTCACAAGCTTTTTGTAGTATGGCCAGCTCATGTTTCACCATTTTGGACTCGTTATCGTACAAAAGTATTCTGATTTTGTGCTATCGTTTTCGGTGTATATCGATATATGTGAATCAGCTGTTCTGTCAGGAACGGGACTGTAAATTTAAATGGTTAATTTTATATATAAACACGTAGGAAAAGAGTGCCGACCGATGGATTGTTACTTGCGCAACGTAAGTCCACAGGACGTCTGCGTGGACAGCTCGGCAGCCGGCAGCGCTCAAACTCGCGCAATTGGATTTCCAGGTCGATGTAACCGCGAACGAGCTTGGCCAGGCCAAGGGCCTTGCGGGCCCGCTGCAGCTCCTTGTAGCGGATCTCGAACTGGGCGTAGAGCAGCCACAGCTTACTGAATGTGAACTGCCGTATTTGTAGATGATGCGCGCTCGGTCATTCTCCTTCTGGCCTTCCTCGAAGCGACTCCTGTAGGATCTGCTGAGTGGCGTTGGCAAGTGCCTGCTGCTGTTGGGCCTGCGTCTGGGATTGGACCACTTGCTGCTCCTGCTGCTGTTCACTCTGTTGCGGTGGCGCAGGTACGCATCTTGGCCTTCAGCATGCTCGGGTTCTGGGCAGTTGCGTGGACACCGAGCTGGCCGGACGCACCTGGGTGCCACTGTGGGGCAGGATTGGGGCTCCAGGGCATTGCAGAGCCGCTGATGTGAGTTGTTGCTGCTGCTGCAACCGAGCAGTGGCTACCGCCAACTGCTGCTTCTGCTTCTGCTCTAGCTGCTGCTGCTGCTCCGGGGCAAGTGCGTCCAGTTGGGTGCGAGCCTTGGGGGGCGTCTGGGTCATATTGCACTGGATAACCTCCGAGGAGACTGCAAAGAGCATTCATAATTAGGACCAGTTGGAAATGATTACTAGTATAGGGTGTCTTACGGTTCTGCTGTGTCTGCAGGGTTTGCGTAGCCGGTTGCCGGATAAACATGCACGAGGTTCCGCCTGGCTGGCCCTCAGGATGATCTGGTTCGAGCCGAAGGACTGCAGTTCAGCCGTTGCGCGCCCGCTGCAACTCCTTGCAGCGGATCTCAAACTGGGCGTAGAGCAGCCACAGCTTGCTGAATGTGAACTGCTTGTGCGGTATCAGCTCGAGGCAGGTTTTAAATATCTGGCGCGTGCGCTCCGTATCTTCAGCCTCCAGCTCCTTGTACAGCGCATAATTGATTTACAGATAGATGTAGCGCAGTAAGAAGTTCTTCTCGTTCGACGGATCTGGTCGCGCTCGCCCTCTGCCTCACCTCCGGCGCAGGTAGTCAATTTTTGGCCACCTCCTGTCGTACTGGTACTTGCGCTCGGAAACGATCACGTCCTCGATGTCAGCCCGATCGCCGCACTTCTTCTCTTGTATGGTGTAGGCCTTAAATAGCTTCTGGGTTCGGTCCTTGGACAGGTGGTCCAGCGAATATTTGTAGATGATGCGAGCCCGGTCGGGCTCCTTCTGGCCCTCCTTGAAGCAGGCAAATGCAATGAACCGTCGCTTCTGGATGTACTCGTCGCCGAAGAACACCGCCCGCTTGAAGACACACCGCGCGCCATGAATGAAGCCGTCGGACTCCTCGAACTTGGCAAACTTTATCCAGTTCTTAACGTCGGGATGCACGTAGACGAAGCGCTCGTAGAATTCACGTACGTCTGGCAGGCCTGCTGCTCTGGCTGCTGCTCCATCCAGCGCTCAAATACCTGCCGCGCCCTGGCCAGGTTCTCCAGCACCTCCATGTATGTGTACTTGTATCAGAATTGGTTGACGCGCACCATTACGGTAACGGCGCGATACAAGGTTGCGGGTTTGGTTCACCTGTTTGTTCTTCATCTCCATCTCAGCGTACTTTAGCCAGAGCGTCACGGTTCGGTTTTCGTTGTCAGAGCCCGCTCCCAAATGGAGCGCGTCCGCTGGATCTCCTGCTCCTGCTGCTACGCATCCCACTGCGCATGTTTAATCCAGTGGCTGACGACCATGCTGTTCTTGCGCAGATTATCTCAATTTTTGTAGTGTGGCAGCTTATTTTTCACAAGCTTTTTGTAGTATGGCCAGCTCATGTTTCACCATTTTAGACTCGTTATCGTACAAAAGTATTTTGATTTTGTGCTATCGTTATCGGGGTATATCGATATATGTGAATCAGCTGTTCTTTTAGGAACGGGACTGTAAATTAAAATGGTTAATTTTATAGATAAACACGACGGAAAAGAGTGCCGACCGATGGATTCTTACTTGCGCAACGTAAGTCCACAGGACGTCTGCGTGGACAGCTCGGCAGCCGGCAGCGCTCAAACTCACGCAATTGGATTTCCAGGTCGATGTAACCGCGAACGAGCTTGGCCAGGCCAAGGGCCTTGCGAGCCCGCTGCAGCTCCTTGTAGCGGATCTCGAACTGGGCGTAGAACAGTCACAGCTTGCTGAATGTGACCTGCCGTATTTGTAGATGATGCGCGCTCGGTCGTTCTCCTTCTGGCCCTCCTCGAAGCGCCTCAGTGGCTTCTCCGTCTGGCAGGGCTTCGCCGGTGAAACTGCTGGCCTCCGCGGATGCACTCACATTGGCTAGTGTTGAGGATTTCGACGTCGCGCTTCTGTCCAATGGGCACAAGGGTGTCCGTCTTCGAAGGCGTCTCCTTGGTGGGCGTGCTGGCACTACTGCCGCCTGTGGCACTGGAGGTGGCTAGTCCGGCTGGCGTGGTGGTCGAAGACACCGTAAAGGCCACGCTATTCAGTTGCAGCTGACCCGCGTTCTGCTGCTCTGGAGTCGTTCCGCCTGAAACAACAATCTGCTGGATGATGTTCTGTTGTTCCTCCCGCTGCTGTTGCTGCTGTGCCTGGGCCTGCGCCTGCACCAGCTGCTGGATCAGTTGGTTATGTAGTTGCTGCTGCCGTTGCTGGTGGGAGGTGATGAAGGTGTTTGGGGCCACCTGTAGGATCTGCTGAGTGGCGTTGGCAAGCGCCTGCTGCTGTTGGTCCAGCGTCTGGGATTGGACCACTTGCTGCTCCTGCTGCTGTTCCCTCTGTTGCTGTTGAGCCTGCGCCACCGCCTGCTGTTGGTGGGCGGTCACTTGCTGCTGCTGCTGTTGGGTGAATTGTTGCTGCTGCTGCTCTTGGGCCTAAGCTGCCGCCTGCTGCTGCATCTGGAGGGCAGCGATCTGCTGCTGGAACATTTGCTGCTGCAAATACTGCTGCTTCTGAATCAACTGCAATTGCTGCTGTTGTTGATGCTGTTTGTCCACTCCCGCAGTGGGTGCGTAGAGAGTCTGCCCGTTCAGATTACTCACTTGTTGCCCGCCGAGTTAACCACTTGCTGGAGATTCGCTGTCGCCTGCTGTTGCTGCTGCACGGTGGCCATGTGACCCACCACCTTGTTCTGGCCGTTCTCCGTCTTCAGGGTGGACAAGGCAGGTCGCACCGGCTGCTGCTTGGTACGCATCTTGCCCTTTAGCATGCTCGGGTTCTGGGCAGTTGCGTGAACACCGAGATGGCCGGACGCACCTGGGTGCCATTGTGGGGCAGGATTGGGGCTCCAGGGCATTGCAGAGCCGCTGATGTGAGTTGTTGCTGCTGCTGCAACCGAGCAGTGGGTACCGCCAACTGCTGCTTCTGCTTCTGCTCTTGCTGCTGCTGCTGCTTCGGGGCAAGTGCGTCCAGTTGGGTGCGAGCCTTGGGGGGCGTCTGGGTCACATTGCACTGGATAATCTCCGAGGAAACTGCAAAGAGCATTCATAATTAGGACCAGTTGGAAATGATTAATAGTTAAAGTGTCTTACGGTTCTCCTGCGTCTGCAGGGTTTGTGTAGCCGGTTGCCGGATAAACATGCCCAAGGTTCCGTCTGGCTGGCCCCTCAGGATGATCTGCTTCGAGCCGAAGGACTGCAGTTCAGCCGTTGCGAGCCCGCTGCAGCTCCTTGTAGCGGATCTCGGACTGGGCGTAGAGCAGCCACAGCTTGCTGAATGTGAGTGCGGTTCTTCCGCAGATTGTCCTCAAATGTCTTTCGCTTGCGCTGCTGGAATGTCCACTCAAACGTCCTAGCGGTGGAGCACTTTATAAGTACTCAGAGCGGGTGCCAAGCTTGGCCAAGTCTACTGGAACTGGAGGGGAATAGCTGATGATTATGGCACTGCGGGCGGTCGAATGTCTTACTTACGTTGCTCAAGTTAGAATCTATCGGTCGGCAATCGTTTCTTACGTTTTAATATATAAAATTAACCAACATTTAATTTTACGGTCTCGTTCCTGGCAGAAAAACAGCTGATTTTCATTTATCGATACACACCAATAACGATAGCACAAAATCGAAATACCTTGCTACGATAATTAGCTTTAAGTAAATGAGCTGGTCCCACTACAAAAATACTGCATATTTTTGGAATTGCCTACTGTTGGGAGTGCTTTGTAGCATACTTTTAGGCTATTCCATGAAATTGCACAAAAATAAATTTGCTTGCTGGTGCCTTCTGATCACCTGGTATTTCAAATTGAAGAATTTAGGAATTTGTTCAAATTGAAGCCTCGTTGCAGCCTACAACAACAACTCTTTTACAACAACAACAATATTTAAAACAACAACGTTTTGTTGTCCCGAAATATCCCTACGACGCAGGCGCGAGATACGGAAAAAGTGTCGATTTCACTAGCGAAGTTTGGTCACACTGGCCCAATATCCGACTGATTTGTTGTTGTTTTTCTTAAGACTTTTTCTCCGTCTCGACCAATCCGAATAATAAATATTTACGGCGTATGGAGTTCAAGTAAACCGGGACAAGGATCAAAATTGTGTCCCGACGACATTGTCCAGACCTCGAGCCGAAGCCGTCAAAGCAAAGAGCCAAAAATACACACAAAACACCGCCCCCACAACTACATGCACATCCGTGCCTAGAGAGGTCTGCGATCGGAGGAGCATGTTTCCGCATCTAAAGGGTCAGGGGCAGCGGGTCAACCTGCAGCTTCTGCAGGAGGCCAATTGCCGCGAGCTGGTCCAGCAGCTGGAGCGCATCGAGGGATCCAAGGTGATCGTCTTAGACGAGGCCATGATCGGGCCGTTGAACTTGGTGACCAGACCGAAGCTCTTCGCCGACCGCGGCATTCGGCTTCTCGCCCTCAAACCAGAGTTGCATCTGCCGCGCGAAGTGGTCAACGTAGTGTACGTGGTGCGTCCCAGAGTTGCGCTAATGGACCAGCTTGCAGGCCATGTGAAGGCCGGCGGACAGGCGGCAGCTGCGGCCGGCCGCCAGTATCACATCCTTTTCACACCCCGACGCTCCTGCCTGTGCATCAGCCAACTGGAGAACAGCGGTGTCCTCGGCAGCTTTGGACGCATCGCAGAACTGGCTTGGAACTACCTTCCGCTTGATGCGGACGTCGTCACAATGGAACTGCCCAACGCATTCCGAGACGTTAGCGTCGATGGAGACACCAGTTCGCTGTACCAGGCGGCTGTGGGCCTGGTGCAGCTCCAGCGGCTGTACGGTCGAATTCCCAAAATCTACGGCAAGGGCGAGCAGGCGCATCGCGTGTGGGAGCACGCCAAGCAGCTGGGACGCGACGAGCGAACGCTGTACAACGGCGACAAGGGTATTGTCGACCAGCTGATCTTGCTGGACCGGAGCATCGACCTGCTCAGCCCGCTGGCCACGCAGCTCACCTACGAGGGACTCATCGACGAATTCCACGGCATCCGGCAGAACAAACTGATGCTGCCCTCGGAGCACTTCCCATCCGACGGCGGACTCTCTGGCGGGGCAGGAGGTAATATTGGCAATGGATCACGGGTCGACGAGTCACAGTCGCTGCTGGGCGACGGCGAGAAGAAGACTATTATGCTGCATTCCGGGGAGACGCTTTATGCGGAACTGCGAAACAAGCACTTCAACGAGGTGACCAAGCTGCTTGCGCGAAAGGCGCGTGAGATTCACGCCCAGATGCACGCCACTTCGCAGGACAAGAGCGTGAAGGAGATCAAGAGCTTCGTTGAGAACCTGTTGCCGCAGCTGATGGCCCAGAAGAAGGCGACATCGGAGCACACAGCAATTGCTGGTCTGCTGCACGAGCAGGTCAACGCAGTAGCCTTCGCCGATGATCTGGCCGCCGAACAGGAGTTCATGGTCTGCGCGGACATTGACAAGCCGAGCGCCTATATCGAGGATCAGATCGCCAGTAAGGCGGAACTGCGCCGCGTGCTGCGACTCATCTGCTTGCAATGCGCCGCCTCCTCCGGGCTTAAGGAGAAGCTGCTCAATCACTATAAGCGCGAGCTGGTGCAGGTCTACGGCCTCGAAGTGCTGCTTACCATGAGCAATTTGGAGAAGGCTGGCCTTCTGCACCAGCAAACGGAGTCTCGGGCATATGCGGTGCTGCGGAAGGTGAGCTGTCGTCTAGGATGAGAAAGAATACCGTGTAAGCTCGTTCTCTCTTCTCCTTTTAGACCCTTCACCTCACCGTGGACGATAATGTCGAAGTGGAGCCGAAGGACATTAGCTACGTGCACAGCTTCTACGCCCCGCTGACCGCACGCCTCGTGGAGCATTCGCTGAAACCCCTGGGCTGGCAGTCGCTTAAGAGCCAGATCAACAACCTGCCCGGCCCGACGTTCGAGGACTTCCAGGCGCAGCTGGTAGGGATCGGTGGAAGACATCCGGGCGCCACGGTCGCCGAGAAATCGCTGCTACACGTGCCGCGTGTGGTTTTGGTCTGCTTTGTGGGCGGCTGCACCTTTGCTGAGGTCGCCGCGCTGCGATTCCTTGCCGCCCAGGAGGACAACAACGTAGAGTTCCTGATTGCCACTACGAAGATCATTAACAAGCACTCCTTTCTGGACAGCCTGATGGGGTCGTGAGGTCGGCGTCTGAGCCGCTTGGAGGCTCATCGCTTGTCCAGCGACCATGGCCTAGTGCGTGGATGAAACGCGTCGGGACCGCTGAAGCCGAGAGCAAAGAGAAGGGGCAAGCGACGCAATACGGCGGTCAGGATTGTAATGGATCAGCATCTCATGCATGACCTAGGGTAGGCTCAGTTTGTGGCACTGCATCATACTAAACACAAACGTATATATACATATATATATTTTTCGATCCCGGTATTAAACCTCGTACTCTACACATATATTATCGCATATACCTTATATGAATACATGTATATTTCTATATGAATATTTATTTTTATGTGTATGTGTGCGTACCGAAGGATATAGTAGTCGTAAGTGAAACTGATTCCAAATTAAAGAACGGCAGATTAAGGTATTTAGGCAATTTGTTATCGTAAAATATATATCCTAACCAGAGTTACAAAGTTATTTAATCGCATAATCAATAGGTGAACAAGCCGTTAATAACATTCCGATAATCTGCCCAATTCCGGGATTTGTAATTAGAAGCGAGGGTATTAAATATCCCGTACAGTATTGTATCTTCTTCGATTTCCACTTCACTTCGGGCTGGATTCTTTGTTAGGCTTTACTACTTAATTCATATTCACCTAAAAATAGCAATGAAACACAAAGAGAGTGTCACAGAGAACTGCACAAGTGCTTAGAGATTTAATTAAGAGTTATAGTGGAAAAAGGCTGGATCCATCTATACCTCTCACAAAATACCTAAGCCACTAGCTACACACACACATCTCTGTATTTGTTGCAATTTCCCGACTTTGCTGGGTGTTTTTTTCTCATAAAATGTAAATGCAATAATAATAATATATGGTTATATTGATTGCTGAAGTATCAATTGGCCGGAATATTTTCGTCTATGTATATTAAATGACTCAAGATTTAAATAAATGTAAAACAATTAAAATTATTTCTTGAAACCCCATTTATTTACATAGGTATTTAAGGGGAAAAGTATTCTTTGAATTGGGGTTCCCACAAGGAAACCTGCAAACACAACACAAACCACAGGTTGCTTTATTTTTAAATATGTTTTATTTTATTGACATTGACGTGCATCAATTTAATTGTTATTCGTTTTCCTTCTTCATTTACCGTAATTGCAAAAATACAATTTATATTTATATAATAATAATTAGAATAATACATAAAAAAAAACAATTTTATAAACATAAAAATATTACATATGTATGTTTTTTGTGTTCCCCGTGCTTTATCTCTATCTCTCTCTCTATCGCGTCATCGGTCCTCGTCTTGCTCCGCTTGCTATAGGTTGATATATGTATATGTTTGCCAAAGTAACTATGCATCTATGTACTAGAATAATACACATTCATAATAATAGTAATAATAATAATGATAATCGGAACCAACTGAGTACCGCTACCGTTGATCCTTGCCTGGTTCTGTCTTGTCGTGTCCTGTCAGGTCCTGTCCCGCCTTTTCCCCAGTTCAAACTTGCTTTAACTTTACGGAAATAGAGTGTGTAGGGTTGAACTCATTCCCCCTGGCTATGTTGTCTTCTACTAAAATGTTAACTTCTACATTTGTGTCTTCCGATTACTCCTTCCTCTCTCTCTCTCTCTCTCTGTGGGCGTGGTCGTGTCTTGTGTTAATCAAATGAAAATAATATACACATTTCCACGTTAAACATATATCGTTAAATAATTAAACGTTTAGATGCTTGAATTTTCTATACAATTTTTATTGTTTTGACTAAGCATTTCGCAAATTGCATTAATTAACTCTAAAATAGGCTTATTTTACTTTATGTATTTATTATTATTATTTATTTTATATATTTTTTCGTTTTAACACACAAAACTAAATTGTAAACAAAACGAACGAACTCTCCCTCTTTTGTATATTTGTCGTGAGTTTATAATAAATTTGGCCATCAAATCTTCTCTTTATATCGAATAAAATAATAATTGTATCATCTTTTTTGTTCCTTTTGTAAAAAATACATTTATTTGTATTGTCGAAAAAAACATAACGTAAATAAAAAGAAATTTGGAACCTAACAACATGCAAAAATGGCAATCGATCGTGTGCCATCATCGGCAGAGCTGCGATCGCAGTTCTCCTTCGACTATCCAATTGGAAATAACATTTAAAACTCGCCAGGACGAGAGTCTCTACTTTGTTTTTGCTTTTTGTTTAACAAATACACATACACACAAGGTTCTATATACGACATTACTTTTCCAGTGCGAGAGCGGAAACATATAAAGGGGGTTAACAAACAAATAGGCGATTGGATTACTCAGTTACTCGGTAATAATATCAAATTAGAATTATAAAGGATAATTTTTAAACAATTTGCATATCGAATTTAGAATCTTGTTCTTTGTTTGCTTGTTTTTTTTTGTGTTTGTTGTGTTACTGTTGATCTTTTGTTTTTCTTTTTGTTTGCTTACTTTTGCTTACATTTATAATTATGTATTTATCAGAGCTGGAACCGCTTGGAAGTTGTTGCTTTCGATGACACATTCTTGTTTTCCCAGCTCTACTCTTTATGTTTAAGTGTTTTCCTTTGTTTATTTTTGTTTTGTTTTGATTGATCTTGATTTAAATTGTTTCAAATGTTAGTTGCTTGGTTGGTTGTCTTCTCGAATCGATATTTCCTCCATACAAAACTATTGCAGCGTTAGAAAATACTCAAGCTTGGGCTTGTCCCTCTTCTCTCTGATCCTTTTCCTTCTCAGGGATTAATATTGTTAATTGATTGCTGTTTATAATTTCTACATAAAGAACAGGACTCTAGTAGGCAGTTCTCTCTGTTCCTGTTTCCGATTCTGTCCTGCTCTTGCTTGTGGCTTTATAATTTCGATTAAAATGTAAGTGGTTCATATTATTAAACATTTGCTGTTGTTGATGCTATAGCGAACCAGCCGGAAAACTCGTTGAACTATTGCTATGGGGTAAACTATTCATGGAACCTGACAGGCTCCCCTCCTCATCTGGATAGGCTTCACGGGATACCTCACTAAGCGATGAAGTGCTGCAAGCAAAGGGATCTTGAAAGGGATATTTCAACTGGAAGAGAGATATTAACTTTACCTGAAACCTAGGGAATTTGATTCGTTATCGAATGCCTCCAACTCTTTAGTATGCTTTTCGTGTTTCATGCGCAAGCGCTCGGCTCGTTCCTGATTGAATTGCTGAAGCTCGGCATCCATCTGAGAGGGCAGAGTGAGAGTCAATGTGGACAGAGTTAATGTTGCAAGCGGCCTACCTTGTTCTCAAGCAAACCCCGTCGCACGCTTACGCGGTTCTCGAGCTCGCGGCGCTCTCGATCCCGCTGCTCCTGCGCCTGCTTCTTGTTCTTGTTCTGATAGGCGGTGAGCATCTCCAGCTCGTATTCCAGCTGCTCGTGGGTACGTTGGCACTCGATCACTTGGCTCTCGTCCAGTTTGTAGCTCTGGCTTTGGAACATGTCGGAAATACTCTGCTCGTACTGCAACAGCAACAGAAACTAAGGGTAAGTATTGGCAGAAAAAAAACATGGTGGGTATAAACGAACCTGTTCGCCCAGCAGCGTCAGCTTGCGATGCTTCTCCTCCTTGAGCTGCTTGATCACCTCTTTTTGCTGCTCCTTTGGCGTCGTTTGCAGCACTTGCGCCTTATAGCGTTTGTATTGCTTCGTCTGTGTCTTGCAGGTCTCCCGGAACTGCTTGCGTATCAGGAGCTCCTTTTGCTGTTGTTTTTTTATTTTTTGGATTCAAAACATATTAATGTTATCAGTCGGCCTCAAAAATTCTCGGTGAGTCATACCTTGAGGCTCTTGGGCTGTTGCCTTAGCTCGACCGCATGCTTCCGCACCAGCTCCTTCTTGATGCGTTCCATGTAGTCTTTTTGATTGTGCAACTCTGTGTCGTGTTGCTTGTTTATCTGCGTGGGGAAAGGAATAAGACTCTGCCAGCCAAGAAAGCGTTACTCGTGGAACTCACCTGCTCCTCGCGTAACTGGTGCACGCTCTTCTGCTGGCGGTATTCCAGCTCCTGTGTCTTTTCGTGGTGTTTTACAAGCATCGCGTGGGCCTGCTGCAGCTGCTGCTCCTTCTTTCCAAGCTCCTGTGCAAGACGATAGATATAAATCGGAAGAAAAATAGAATATTAGAGGAAACTTACATCGCGGAGCTGTATGTCCTCGTGCTCGTGCTGCATTATCATGCGCTTGCGCTTAAACTTGCGCATCTCCAGCTCGATATACTGCTTCTGGGCCTGCAGCATGCGCTGCTCCTCCTGCGCTTCGTGCTGCTTTAGGTTGTCCTTCTGCGACTGCAGGGTGAGGTCGCGCTGCCGCTTTGGCGTCTGGTCGTCCATGGATAGCTCGCGCTTCCAGCGCTCCTTGTTCGCCTTGTACTCCTTCTTCCGGTTGAGGTCGTACGCCTTGCGGTCGCATTCCTGCTTCAACGTAATCTCTTTGTGTAGCTTCTTCTCGGCGGCGCTCGTCTGCTTTAACCACCGCTCCACATCCTGCAGGTGTTTGTTCTGAAAGTGAGAGGGGAAGTCATGACCAGACCAGGGGCAAATCCCATACGAAACTCACCTCGAGCCGCTCTAGTTCCCGTGTAAAGTTATGCAGCAACGTATCATACTCCTTGTCCAGCGCCGCCTTGTGCGCCTCCATGTCCACCTTGCACTTCTCCTCCAGCTTGACCAGGTGTGCTTGATGTTCGCGCCGCATTCGCTTATATCCCGACATTTGCTCGTGCATCTCCTCCTGCGCAAAGGGATCGCGATGTAATGGATGGGCAGAGAAGGCACAGATGGTTAGAGGTTAAAGGTCAGAGGTTAGAGGCGTGGTAATGCGACAGATGCAAGAGATCGACTAACAGTTACGGCCCCACGGAATAACTGTAACTTACACAGCCGCCATCGAGCTCCAGCTCCAGCTCCAGCTCGAACCTAACCTCAATGGGCGCAAACAGTGCGCAGAACATGGCTCCTTTGGTATTTTCGACTTGTACCTGAACCCAGGGTGTCTGAGTACGTATTCTTGCTACGTATAGCCCGCCAGGTGCGAGTCCAAGTTAACAGATAAAACGAGTACAGTAAGCAACAAATGACCAACAAACACAGTTACTAAATAGCTCTCGCTTGCAGGGATGGATTGTGTGGATCGAGTTGAGCCTCGACCCAGTGTGACCCTATTGCGGCAGTGCGTGGGTGTTGTGTGTGGATCGAGTTTGAACGGTGTAACCCCCTATGAAAGCAGTAAGCTAAGCATAAAAAAGTCGTTATTGATGCTTTCTCAAATCAAATTGTTAAAAAGTAACAAGAGGAATTTTTACAAGATCTAAGAGAAGTTTTTCAAAAGGTTTGAAATGAATTTTTTTTAACTCTTAACAGGAATTTTTAAAAAGTAATATTGAAATAGTTTTGAGAGGCATTTTTTAAAAGTTGAATGGTATTTTGTAAATGTAAATTGTGTAGAACTGTTTAATGTTTATGTCTTGTAAAACTGAAAATGTATCACCTTGGATTTAACAATAATTGGAACTAGAATTTCAAGCACCTGCTTTTACGTTATAAAACATCTAAAAAAATGCGGAAATGGAAATAAAACATCTTAATGTGTGTTAAACGCATGTAAAAATATTAAGCAAATCATGTTTTGAACGCTTTTATAAAGTATTTAAGGAGGCTTTTATGGATGGGCAATGCCGATATACACCGAAACAGCGGTTAACATGTGTACATTCAGTCCCAAAGCAGACCCCGTGGCATGGATCAGTTCAAGTGGTGGCACTACCAAAAGCTACACTAATAAATTAACAACAAATTCGAATCATTTTCAACGCATTAACGCCAAAAAGTGTGGAAAACAGAAGCGGTCCAAGGCATGAGTGGGCGGCTGAGGAGGCTATGGGATGGGCACTAGTTGGTGGGTTGGAATGCGATGGAGCGGCAGGGGATGTAATTGCAACGGCAACGGGAACAGCAACACGTCTAACTACAGTAAGTACATGTTGGCAGCGACTGCTTTTCAAACATTTATTTGTCGTTGGCTTGGCACCTCCGCTCTCTGGCTACGAAATTACACAGGGACAGTGGCGTTTGGGTTTTGGTATTGGTTTTGGTTCTTGCTTGCCACCGCCGACCTCGATCCGCCGGGGACTGTGGATGTGGTCGCCACCGCACAGCTGCGAGCAGAAGTTATAGCGCGCCTGTTCGAGGATGCGGGAGTAGAACAATAAACACAACAAAGAGAGCTTGTAGTAGTGGGCAAAAGTTAGAGGGGTAGCGGAAGCATTTGCAGGCGAGCGGGGGTTGGGAATGGCTGGGCAAATGGAACGAGATGCAACTGCAACTGCAACTGCAACTGCAACTGCATATCTTCTGCTGGCTGACGGATGACACTGACACAAACACACACAAAGGACGCGCATCGCAGAAATGGAATGCTAACGAAGCCTAAACTACGAACGACTACCACTCAGGCGTGACCCATGGACAGAATGGTCTAAGCTGCAACCCCCAACGAGAGATAGAGCGAGCGAGCACACTGAGAGAGATCTATGGCCGAGGCGGGAAGAACGAAGAACGAAACACGAAACATAAAACGGAAATGTGACAACGCACCTGCATGTGCTCCTTCTGCTGCTTGGTCACGATGCTCGTGGTGCGTATGGTGGCAAAGTTGTTCGGCCCGTGATCGTTGACGGCATTGGAGATGGCCTGTTGCGAGGAGGCGGAGCTGGCCGCGTATACAGCCGCCTGTGCGGCGGGCGTCGTTAGGTATCTCGGCTGGATGGGCTGCATTCGATCTGGCAGAGGTCCGCCAGATGCCGGGGAGCCACCCCCGCCGCCACCACTGCCACTGGTACCAGAGGCCCCGACACCGTGACCCATCGCGCCCAGGTGCGGCATTACGGTGAGTGGAGGTGCCGGTACTGGAGCAGGCGCTGGAGCCGGTACCACCGAGGCCGAGTTCGTCGGCGTCACGTTGTTATTCATGCTGTGCATGATATTGGGCAGCGGAGGCCGGTTACGGTGGCGCGACGAGTTGCGGGAAACGGCGCCAGGGGGACCCGCCTGCTGCTGCTGCTGCTGACCACTGGGCCAACTAGGCTGCGGATGCGGGTGGTGATGGTGGTGGTGCATGGCCACTGCCACAGCGGCGGCCGCTGCCTGCTGATGGTGATGCGCTGCGATATGGTGATGATTCTGGGCCGCAGCCGGTATGGAATTGGATGAGGAGCTCTGCAAAGAAATCAGTATGACACATGGGCTCAGAACTCAGCAAATTATAGCAGATCCAACTGCTGACGCGGATAGATCCTCACCTGACTACTGGCCGCCGATACACCCACCGAGTGTATGGAGTGTTCCGAAGTAATACTATTACTCTTGCTGCTGTCACCGCCAGCGTGGTCGTCCTGCTGATCGTCGGCATCGCCCACGGCACTCTCCGTCTCGCAGGTGTCCACCATGAGTATCTTCTTCATCTTTCGGTAGTTGAGGTTGTCCAGTTCACGCACCGCCGACTTGGTGCGAGCAATCAGCTCCAACAGTACCGTGTCGGAGCGCGGCCGCGTCACGTAGGCGTGGGTCAGCAGCTTGGCCGATGAGGGACGCTCCGCGGGCATCTTCTTGAGGCACAGTTCGACGAAACTGCAAAACGCGTCCGACCAGTCGTTCTTCTGCAAAAGATGAATGGGTTAGAGGTTAGAAGTGAGGGCATCCAGAGATCTTTATTGGTTTTCAGATATCCTTTCATAAAGGTTCGACCTTTTAGTATGGAGAAGCAGTCTATCTTCGAGTCGAGAACTTATCTTTCGGACCGACTTACCGGAAGTGTGGGCGACTCGTTCTGCGCAATGTGGTAGAGCGCTGACATGGCGTTCATATTGAAGTAGGGCGGCTTGCGCTCGGCCAGCTCGATGCAGGTGATGCCCAGCGACCAAACGTCCACCTTGCCGTCATATTGGCCCTCGTCCATGGCCAGGATCACTTCGGGAGCCATCCAGTAGGGCGTACCGACGAAGCTATTGGCTGGACACTTGATGGCGGCGCTACCGAAGTCGGCCAGCTTGACGACACCGTTGTCCGTGAGCAGAATGTTGCCCGCTTTGATGTCGCGGTGGATGCGGCCCAGCGAATGCAAATAACTTAGGCCACTGAGCACGCCCAGGCAGATGGCGGCGATCTCGTCCTCATGCAACGGCTTCTTGTGAACCTCGATAATGTCCGAGGCGGAGCCGACGCAATATTCCATCACCAACCAGGCGGTTGATTCCCGCAAATAGCAGCCCTTGTATTCGATGGTGTTCGGGTGATTCAATTGCCGAAGGAAGCTGCAACAAGCAGAGGTCCAGAGATTAGGTCAGTAATTATATTCCCGGCAACATAGTCCCATCCAACCCACTACCCACCGTATCTCTTTGAGTATATCCTGCCACTTCTCCTGGCTCTGCTTCCCGGTATACGACATCTTCTTGATGGCCACGATCTCCTTGGTGAGATTGCAGCGGGCATAGTAGACCGCACCGAACGACCCATGGCCGATCTCGCGCAGATCCTCGAAAATCTTCTCCGGGTCATGCTTGTTGAACAGATCGGCTATTTCCGGATCCTTGAGACTACCAGGTCGTGCCGAAGGCATGGCTGTCTCTCATGCTCCAGCACCCAGCGCGCTCCCAGCTCACTCAGTGCCCCTCTTCTACAACTCTTGGCTGTAATCCTGAATCTGCCCGTGTTCTATTCGGTGTCTCTGTGTTCGGAGAAAGCGGAGAATTTACAAGTTAGTCAGATATCCACTGCTGAGTCATCTGTGTCCAAGGAGCGAAGCTCAAGTCCCGATGACTTCCTGAGTGTGAAAACGGAATGGGAATAATGTTGTCTTTGGGTAAGCAGGAGATGATGGGACATCGAAAGAGGAGGGGTGAAAGGTGATCTTCTCTTGTGGCCAAGAAAGGTGGAAAAGCCGAAAACTGATTATCAAATCGATCAAGTGATTCACGCCCGGGGCCAGCTCACGCACACTATCGCCGCTGCCGGTGGGGAGTGGGAGCAGGCGCGGGCACAAATCAAATCATTCAGAATTCCACACGCAGCGCGGAGCGGCGGCAGCCGTTATCACAAATATGTGTGTTTACTGCCTGGCCTCGTTTATGGCTATTTTCTTTTGCCCGTGTGTTACCAACTTAACGGCGCTTTGGCAACTTCCCTGGCTGGCGGATAAAAAATACATTTCTGTTTTCTGTTTCGGCGTAGGGTGTAGGGTTTAGGGGATGCACACGTGCCCGCTAACCTTCAGGGGAATCAGAGTTCGCCATGGCCAGTACAGACAAACACACTCACACAGACACGCTGCCAAGGAGTAACAGCTCAGACCGAAGGGGTGCATTTGTCACTGTTGCGAATTCCGCAGACGTATGCATGTGCCTGCAATAGTATGGTACGCCACTGGTACATGTGCATGGGCTGGGGCAGTGCGGGGGCGTCTGCGTATCTGTGCCGGCAGTGAGCGGGAGCAATTGAGCTGCTGCTGCTGCTGCGATTGTTTACTCGCAGCCTGGCTAAATACTTGATAATTAGCCCCGGCCCCGTCTTTGTGCGACTGGCATTATTTACTCGCAACGCGAAGCAGAAACACGCCTATTTTTCATAGCCACACACTCTTGCACAAAGAGCAGCCATGTCGCTCCCACACATACACGGGCATGGACACCGCTCACACACACACACACGTACATGCATGTACATATATTCGTCTGGTCGGTCGCTTGTTGTTTTGCATTTCGTGCGACACAAATTCAATTGAATTTTTTACTCTGCTCGGGCTATTGTTTTGTGCCTTTTCATTTAGATTGTTGCAGTACATTTTCTTTAATTCGCTATGATTTTTGTTTGCCTCTTTTAGGGTGCGGACGAAGCACACACCGAGCAGCAAACGGCAAAAAAAATAAAAATAAAATAAGAGAACCAAAAAAAAAGGAAACAAAAAACGCACGACGGTGGCCGTCGTCATCGGCGATGCTGCTGCTCTTATTGTTTTTGCTGCTGCTTGATTAGTGACGTTGCTGTGGCGGCGACGGCGTCGTCGTCGGCGTCTGCACTTTGTGCATCACGGGATTGGGATTGGGATCGGGGATCGGAATCAGAATCGGGATGGCGAAGTAGCTTTCGTCTTTACTTCGATTCGAATCGGTTAAATTGTTTTGCTTGCACATCACACACACGCACTCGCACTCACACAGCCTCGTCGGGAGCAGATAAATACATACAATTGCGGTGTATTTGTATGGATCGACTCGTGCCAGCTCTGTCTGGCATAATGGCCAGGGACTCGCACCGAAATCAGATGTAAATCAAAATATGTTTGTTAAATTGTGGTCCAGGCCACGTTGGGATACAATTTCATGCCGTAAATTGTCCAAATTGTCCATTGGGCGAATAATCAATGCGACGACACACACACAAATTGGCACTTCTCAGCAAAGACGAAGGCGAGTCGAGTAGAGGCAAAACGTAAACGGGAAAAAGAAGAGTATGCACATACACACACACACACACACACACGCATGGCAAGTGAGAGAGAGGGGCGCACAAGACATTGGAAAATGCATAAATCTGTCAAAAAAGTGGGGTTTGCTACAACTAACGGCTTACATTCGGCAATTAATTAATGCTTGCTAATTTATCTACGCGGCTGGCCTTTTGTTTTCGTATCTGTATTCATTTTTCTTCATGCGTCGCTTTCTTCACGCCTGCTTTGCCCTGCTGCTGTTATTTGCTTTGCTACGGGTCGCCTGCACTTCACACGCGTTGCGTTTTACACGTCCGCATTTGCTGCGCATCACGAGGACGCCGAATTCAGTGGATTCTCGATTCCATTTACGGCACTTTGTCAATTTCACTTCAATTCCAATTTTTCTTCACGTTTAATTAAAATTTCGATAGAGACGTACAAAGTACGATAGACGCAGAAATCGATAGGCGGCAGTAGCCAGTATGACCAAATGCGGTGTGTGAAAATATACTGACAGTGATTGGTAAATATACCAAAAAATATCAGGTCAAGCTAGGCTAGCAATCGGCTTCCTTATCGATAACAAGTATCGCTATCGACTACAGCATTTTTAATTTGGCAGTTAGTTATTTTCAAGTATTCTCTAATTAAATACTTAAAAGCTTCTTAAAAGTTTCAAACAAGTAACATATTACTTTTAAATGATATTTATTAGTTGACGTTGGTAATTTTTGGAGCACACTGCATTGCATAATAACTAGGATTTGAAAAAAAATATACACCGCTTACTTAAAGATGTACTGCTGTTGCTGATGGCTGGGGGTCGGGAAGCGATTGAGGCCGACGAAGTCAAGGGTCGGAGGAAAGCCGTAGCCGCTGGCGGGTCCGGGAATCGAGTCCGCTTGTTGACTGGGAGGCGGTGACCCATCTCTGACTGAGGAACCTGGTCCAGTTCCTCCGGCGAAAAAGTCATCGTCACTCTGATAGTTGACCAAAAACCGCGGTGGAGATCTTTCAGGCTGAGCATCAGCGTTGCCATCAGCAGTAGAGCTTGCACCTGCACCCGCCCCCGCACCCGAATCCGTATCCGTGTCTGCCGCATCGGCGCCATCACCGCTGGCCGTGATTCCTGCCACCTGCACCGCCGACAAATCCACCTCCTCCTGCTGCTGCTGCTGCTCCTCTGGTAGTTCCGCGAGCCCCGCCAGCGCTGCGACGCCGCCTCCTAGAGCCAGCGGCCTAGAGAAGGTATCTGCAAAGTGTCGGAGAGAATCCAATTGTACGGCAATTAGTTAAAAGTTTGCTTATTTTACCAGTAGGTTGTGCGTACTGATAGACGAGGCGATCTCCCAACTGCGCAGGGCGGCGCTGCCGAGGATCAGGCTGCTGCGGTTGCTGTTGTGGCTGCTGGGGACGTGGTCTTAGACGCGGACGCGGAGCGGCAGCTGGCGGTGGTGGTGGTGGCGGTGGTGGAGGAGCTGTAGCTGGTGCAGGCGCCGCCGGAGCATCATAGTCGTAGTCGTAATCATAGCTAGGTGGCCCTGGTGGAGCTGGTGGTGCTGGCGGCGGTGGACGAGCCGCGGGTCTTTGGGCGTTATAAAGCCCCAGGGGGCGTGGCTGCGGACGCACCCGTCTCGTTGGTTGTGGAGCGGGCGGTGGCGGTGCTGGTGGCGGTGGCACTGCAGGATCAGCATAGTCATAGTCAAAAGGAAGATAACCAGAAGCGAAGTACGGATGCCAGATTGGTCGACGGCGACGGGGATTCGGTGGCGGCGGCGGCGGTGGTGCTGGAGTCGTGGTAGTCATTGCCGGCGGCGGGCGTCGCGTGGTTCGCACCAAATTGGCCTTGGCTGAGGATAATTGGGCGCTCTTCAGCAGCAGGTTGCGTAGAAGCAAGCCAAAGTCCAGGGTGACGGTTGCCCGTGGAGTTCGTGTGCGCACAGCGAACTCCGCGTCCTTTTGGGCATGATTGCTGCCGAGGAGCTGCGCTAGGAGCGCGAGCACGAGCAGCGGCAGGCGGACTAACATCCTGATGTGGTGAGCTGGTGATCAGGGGAGCTGGACTGTACCGCTCAGGAGGCCGTTCCAATCGGAACTGGCACTGGTCAGCCGCCGAGCCGCCTGCCTTGACTCGACGGAGCTGTGCCGCCCGAGCCTGGGCGTCGTGGATTAAGTGCCCCGAAAATCAACAAGTTAGACGGGTTAGCTGTGGCTCTAGCTCTGGCTCTGGCTCTGGCTCTTGCCTGCCTCTTGTCATAGTCGTAATCGCCGCCGAGCAAGACCCCAATCCCCGCCAGCCGTTGGCCATCAACGAGTTCTGTGCGTGGCAACAATTACTTTTGCACTACTTTTTGCGGCGGTTAATAGATCGTAAGTGCAGCACAAACTATGCATAATGCTTACCGGCCCGATGCATTTTTAAGAGGCGGCAACGACTGCGACTGTGACCACACAGTGGGTCCAGTCCCTTCACATTGCAGCGACTTGTAGAGGCCACGACGATAGATAGAGCCAGTCATCCTTGCTAAGAATAATATTGAACATTTTAATACCATTATCATTCAATTGGAATCACATGTTATCCATCTGAAAAATTAAGTACACATAGTTTATAATTATAAGATTTAATTTTAATTTAAACTATTTTATGTATATAGTTCTAACTTACCTGAGATGGGAAAGGGATGCCTAGAGGGCTCATATACTTCAGTCTAAAGTGGAGTATTTTCAGGCATAGGAAATAGAAATAATTACCTTCAAAACTTTGTCAAGACTACCAACCACTGTGCCGTCGAGGGTCTGTCACGATTTGCTCTCATAATAATATGAATTTTGATTTCGGAGTTGGACTGCGCCTGCGCCGCCAGTTGAATTTGATTTTCAATATATGTTTAATCATTTCCACAGTAATTAACAGTTGGCCCGCTCTGCACTGTCTATTTTTTTAATTTTTGTTTATTTTTTTGGCGCAACTCTGATTCGGATTGACTGCGTCCGACTGGGACTGGATCCGGACAATGGCCACCACTCGCTTTCCATTCGTTAGGAGGGGAAACCAGTCGGCCAGTGCATAAATTGCACAAAGATCTGATGGAAAAGCTGACGGTTGTCCGTGTTCTGTATGCAGATATAGTAAGTGGAGTATATATGCTGGAACAGAAACTGGTTGGGTCTCCTTCTCCGATCTAATCCGTGTCCACATTTGCGCTGCCTTCTTTAACCTTGAGTCTAGTCTGCGCCTTATCTCTTGCATAACCCAGAAATGGGGCTGACTGAACCAGTTCGGGTTCCCTGCCACTCCCCAATTGCCCAGAGCAACCGTGGAAAGTGAAAATTCGTTTCGTTTTCCATTTCCCACGACACGTAACCGAGGCAGGCAATTTGTCCCAGATTGCTGGCATTCAACAGCATTCAGGATATTCAATTAAACGTATCCGATGCTTGGCACGCACAATAAAAGCAATGGAAGTACGCTTAAAGTTACAAAATCCAACACCTTAATTAAAATTAAACTTGTATTGATAGGAATTTTTACATATTTTAATTATTAGTTTTAGTTAATTAGAATAAGTATAAATGGAATGGCAAAGAAGAACATTGACCACAGATTAGTAAAGAAATGAGGGTAGTAGATTGACTTCATCAGGGCTTCTTCCTGGTGTCAGTGGATATAGGAAGAGTAGGCAAATCAAGCTATTTAGGTAATCCCCAAGACCAAGCGGTCAAACAGCCTGTCTTGGTCATTTTCCAAACACCAAGCACGCAGACAGTCTGCTGGAAGACAATGTGAAAAAGCAAATCGATTATTAAAACCAGCCACAGCTCGAGAGGATCGAGGCTGGAGGAAATGGGCGGTATATGGCAATTAATCTAGACATTAATTTTTGTTTGGTAGCAGGTTAAAAAGGCATTAGCCGTATGCGGAACTGAGGCACTTTTGCTTACAAATTGTGTACATTTTAAGCAGGTCAAGAATTACCAAGAATAGCTACATGCATGTGCTCGTAGATATTTTAGACTTTAAATAGTGTTTAAATCGATTCTAGTCAGGTAAAAATTAACTACCACTGGCAAACACTTCACTTAATTTATAAATATTCTATAAAAATCTTTCACTTACCCTTTTTTTCTATGGCATTAGCAGATCTCCCTTTACCATCCTTCAATTTCATCCGCCCTGTTGGCCGGGGGATACTGGCACACTTTAGAGGGCATACTTTACAGGGCTACGTGCTTCAAGGCTCGCTGGATGTGTTTTCGTTTTCGATTTAACTTTTGGCTCTTGGCTAAAAGGAGAAGATCGGTTATCTAAATACGCTTCAACCGTTTGATAGGCGGTGAGTTAGGTCTTTGACCGATACTGATGTGGCACTTGTAGCCAAGGCCAACTTTGTACGCATGTTTAGGTAATTACCATTGAAATTACCTGGCAACAGGCCACAGAGGAAGCATTCTGGATCATCCTGTATATGTTTTAGTAATGTCTATACCCTTTCAGGGTATTATATATTATATTATTAAGTCAGAAGCTTAAAACTCAGTGAATGAGTCGTTTCCGACCCTAAAAATAGTATATATTCTTGATCAGCATCAACAGGGGAATTTCCGGCAGAGAATAAAAAATTTTCAAAAAATTAAAAATTTTTTAAAAACAGAAAAGGGGTTACATCGTTAATATTGTCAAAAATTTACAAAAATTTTAATTTTTAATGGAGTACGCAGATTTATTACCCTAATCAAAACTAACAAAGAAATGCTTTCCGAATTAAAATTAATGCTTTTTTGGCTTAGTTATGAGTTTTTAAAGTTTTACCTTACTCGAAAAAATGTTCATATAAAAATATCGATTTTGTAAAATGCAAGGTTATATAAACTTGGTCTTACCAAAGTTAGTTTCCTTTCTGGTTAGCTTTTGAAACTAGGCCAATGACTGATAATGTTGACGCCAGAAATGGGATCGCGATAGAAGCTACTACAAATCACGGCGGCGTCGCAGGTGAAGTGGTTCCTCTGTCATGGCTACGTGCAAATTGGAACACGGAAATGGTTTCCCTAACTACTGGTAGGTCTGGATGTGGTCAGAAGCCAGAAGGGGGAGGGTTCACCTCTGCAGGTCCGTCTTATTTTGTGATGTAATGCTTAAGAGCCTGATTATCCATATTACTTTTAAGGTTTTCACAAAAAATACAATAATTATACCTTCTGCAGTGATATAACAACATGGAGGCAATGAACCCACATCAACTCGGCCTTGGCCCGATCCACGTTCCACACTTGCTAAGCTTCAATCGAGTGATTCCCCCGGAGTGTATACCAACCCCTCACAATAATGCATAGACTAAAGCCGGAATTCAAGAAAATACTCCCAATGGAAGAGAGATTTGTGAGCTTGAACAAATACTTATCCCAGAGACTGTCTTTGAGCATGTGTATAGCCTCCCACAGAATATATTTAGTACATATGGATATATTGTAGTATTTTACCGTTGATATAATAACACTCAAGAGTCGAATTTTTTAAACAATTACTCGGTAATCATCGGCGAGCAGGGGTATTTCACCTGCCTTTTTTTAACCGAATAATAGTCTCTATCTTGACAATGTTTTGCTCTCCACGTTTTAACTCGTTTCGATGAGTAATGCCAACAAAGTTGTTTTCGTTCTACGCATCACTATTTTGATAGTACAATCTGTAGTACTATGTTATATAGTAGTAGTAGTTCTCATGAGGTCACACTTTTCATTCATCGAGAACAGGTTCGTTTGCTGAAATAATTGCAGTAAGCGAGAACATTCGAATTAACATAATTATATGATTATATTTTTGTTCTAAATTAAGAGAAGAGTGTTTATAAATTTGGATATACTATGAATAATATACAACCTTTAAAATAATATATGTATAAATATAATAAATTAGTTCTATAAACCAGAGTATCATTATTTGGTATAGCACAAGAACTCTGGGTATATAAGAAACCTACCTTAAATTTACCTTCACCCTTTTCCTGAGGAAAAGCACCAGGTATCACCTAGTCCAGTCTGCTTCCCAGAAGATTGGACATATTTTTTGGCAAAGTGCGTGACAATGCCGTTTCCGAGAGAGATTTTTGTCAGTGAAAGTGGTCCGCCTCAGACGACTCGTTGGATCTCGGTTTCGTTTAACCTGGCCAACGCCACGCTTGGAATTGATTGATGTAACCATTAATTATTTTATTGCGCAATAGTGGGCCAGGTGAGTTAGAGACGCTCGCCCTTGCCAAGGGCGGACCAGGGGATCAATGAACTCTCCGGCCGTGAACCGCCGGATCTGTTACGGCCAGGTTAAGCGAGAGAGAGAGAGAGAGCCAAGGTGAGCCACTACCACTAGCACTACTCACGAATTTATTGGCCCAATTTGTAGTGGCTTCTATCGCTGGCGATCGCGTTGCTGCGCTATCAGTTATTGGCCTCCACGACGGAGTACGGCCAAAAGCGTGGAGGAAATTCCCTGGAGAGCTGCTTCAACTGGGAATTCATACAATAGGAATATAATTTAAAAGACTAAGCTTTAGTTCAGGGAGATAATATTTTTAATTGTTGTTATTATTACTCTCGACATACACCTCTACTTCGATTCCTGGGAAGTTGTATGACTAGTTCCTAGGAAAGATCCTTTGGAAATTCATAAGATACTCCTGCAATGCTACCAGGATATTGATTTTCAAAAAATATATATATTTAATATATATAACTCATAGTTGAACGATTTAAAGCAGAATACCACAGGAACTGAGCAAAAAAGTGCATTTAATGAGCATTAATGAGCATCATCCCCAACCCTCCACCTTCCGTGAACCGACACACCTCGCTGGCCACACGATGCTGGGAAGCCCCCTGTTCCAACCCACTCAATCCACTCAACCCACTCCAGTGCAGTTCTGGCCAAAAAGAGTGCAATTAAGACCGGGAGAGTGGATAAAAAGTTAATAGTTGCTCATCGTCACTGTCGTCATCCCCCGCATGGCATTGAATCTAATTCGGAGCAATATCAGTCATCGACCCGAAATGTTTGCCAGTGATCGTGATCGTGAAGATACCGAAGGTGGCCAAGAGGCGTCTATTGGTTGTGGCCAAGCCAAGGGATTCCAGATAGAGCGCTGCACGGCTGACGGCTGCAACCGGAGAGCGGTGATTAGAGAGTGAGAGAGAGGGAGAGCTCGTGCTCCCGCTACCGCTCCAGCTCCCGCTACGCTACCGCTCCAGCTCCCGCTCCCTCTCCCGCTCATATCACATCATTAAGTTAGGAGCTTCCTCTCCACCGCTCCCAGAGCATAGCCCTACTCGCTCCTATAAATATCACGGCCTCGTCCACGGCCACGGCACTCCCGAAATTGCTTAGCTCGAGCCCAGATCCCCATTCCCACTGTCCTCTGTCCTCTACCATCAGTGCGGGAAACCCAAGTAAACCCTTCATCCCCATGCTAATCCAGTTGCTCCTGCCACTGGCAGTGGTCACTGCCCTGCTCCTTGGGGTGCCTTCAGCTAACGGATATAGCTCCAAGGATCTGCTCGTGTGGATGCAGTCCAGCAACCTGGGCTATCAGGTGCTCCAGCAGGCGCTCAACGATAACAATCAATCCTCAACAGCTGCCGAGGCAGCCTGTGCGGCGGAGGTGCGTCTGCTCCTGCTGGCGGCGGAGGCCAAGGCCCTGCCCGCCTTGCGAGGTGAGTCTTTTGGCGGCCATCTCCTGGCTTCTGTTGTCCATACATTGCACCTTCTTCCATGCAGTGCTCGATGCCTGGGGCAAGTTTCCACAGGGCCTGCTCTATGGCCACTTCACCGATATGGGCAACTACGAGTCCTGCCTGAGTCTGGGCCAAACTAAAGCTACCAGTAGTCTCGGCGACATTGCCGCCGCCAAGTACTGCCTGAGTCACATCCAGTTCGAGAGCCTGCTACTGGAGGCCACAGGAGCGGAAGCGCTCACCCTGAGTATTGGCACCTGCCTGCCGGCCACCTGCTCGACTGCCCAGCTCAGCCGCTGGCTACAGGGACACCTCCAGGAGCTCTTCGGACGGAACTCAACAGGAGCCGTGCTGGTGACCGAGCAGGATTGTTCGCTGGCCAAGGGAGAGCCCATGGGTGGCCTGGACTGGTTTGCCGTGTGAGTAGAGAACAAAATGGGAGAGCTAGCACTCAGTTGGAACTCACTCAACGCTCTTCCCACACACTTGTGCAATGTGTGCACCGCCCCGACTAGTTGTGAGCGGCCACTCTGGCGTATACGTGATGCGTATACTTGTTTTGAAGTAGCAATGACGTGGCCATTTCTTCACAACTAATAGATAACCTTGTCCATTTCAGCTCGATCCTGATACTTTTGGGCACTGTGGTCCTGCTGGCCACCCTTTTGGACTATGGCAAAGGTAGGTTCGTCTTCCAAAATCCCGCTCCACTGGCTTAACCCTCTGCCGCTGCTCCGTTCCAGTCAATGGACAACTCCTGGGTGCATTCTCCCTGCGCCAGAACCTGCCGCAATTGCTTAAAACCTCGAGCACACCCTCGCCGCGGATTATTCCCTGCCTCCACGGCATCCGCTGCCTGACCATCATCTGGATTATACTCGGACATGGGTACATGTATTTGCTGTTGGCACCCACCGTCAACTCCCTTGAGATCGTGGCCTGGGCCCGGACACCCTTCTCCATGGTACTGCAAAGCGGTTCCATCTCCGTGGACACATTTTTTCTGCTGAGCGGCCTGCTTTTGGTTCTGACTAGCCTGCGTGAGCTGGAGCGGTGAGTTGTAGCCTCCGTATTCGATCCTAATACTTATCATACCCCTTTTCCTGCAGCACATCGGGTTACCTGAACGTGCCACTGATGTACCTGCACCGCCTGGTTCGACTAACGCCCGTCCTGGCCCTGGCGGTACTCCTCTTCATGACGCTCTTTCCCCGCCTGGACAGCGGTCCGCTGTGGCAGCAGTTCACAGGCTCCACTCAGCTTTGCAGCGACTCCTGGTGGGCCACGCTGCTCTACGTGCAGAACTATGCGGCTCCAGGTCGGATGGTGAGTGCCTGCGTGCTATCCCCGACTCATAACTGATCCCCATTCCTCATCTCACTTAACAGTGCCTGGGTCACTCCTGGTACCTGGCTGTAGATATGCAGCTGTACATACTCTCGCCCATCCTGCTGATCGCTCTCCACAGATGGGGCAAGCGTGCCGTTGGTGGCATTTTGCTGCTGATCCTACTCCTCTTCGGCTGCGTCTTCAGCATTATTATGCTGCGTGAGTTGCAGGTCTTTGACCGTCATGGGTGAGTACTAATATAGCCATGATTCAATTCAGTGCTAACCATTCAGATTCCTTGCAGCAACCTGGGTGCCGATAGCCCCGAAATGCGTCTCATCTACTACACCACGCATGCGCGCGCCACACCCTGGCTTATCGGAATCCTCTTTGGCTACTTCCTCCACCGCCAGGGTAAACAGGCCACCAAGGTGGCTGTGCCCCGATGGCTGGCTCTGGTGCTGTGGGTGCTCAGCATCAGCCTGCTCCTGGTTGTGATCTTCGCCATGTACCCGTACACGGAGGCCGGAACGGAGATAATATCGCCGCTGGGCGGCGCCTTCTACATCTGCTGCAGCCGCATCGCCTGGCCCCTGGCCCTGTGCTGGCTCATCTGGGCCTGTCAGAACGGACTGGCTCCGGTGATCAGCGATCTGCTGGGCTGGACCTTCTGGCAGCCTCTGTCCAAGCTATCATATTGCCTCTACATCTGGCACCTGCTCGTGGAGACCGTTCATGTGGCGCGCACCAAGACAAGTTTGCATTTCTCCAACTACGATGCCGTAAGTAGCTGCCATCTCTTGAAGGGAGTAACTGTACTTCATCCTTGTATCCTTGCAGATCCTCCGCTTCTGGTCGGACTTTGGCATCACCTTGTTAGTGTCCATGATCATGTATCTATGCGTGGAGGTGCCCCTGGCCCGCCTTGAGATGCAGCTTTTGCGCAGGCGCACAAAGCCGCAACCCCCGACAAACTCCCAGCCAGTAGACCAAGCTCTTGAGGATGTCCCTGCTCCAGCCACGAGCATTTCCCGTCAAAATCTAGTCGACCCCTAAGCGTTGGGCTGGAAGTTCTGGATATTAAAATGTGATTTCATCGTTCCTTCTTTCTATTTTTTTGTTCAAAGACAAAAATATAGGAATAAAACCGTTTAATGTATTTCGAAAATTATTCACACAACGAATTTGAATCCTCTAAAGGATTGACTGGTTTAGCCAAAGTATTTAAAAAACCGCTGCTCATCCAGCATGACGCCTGCTTCCTATACGAAGTCCATTAAGACTTTCTTAATTAGAGCAATGATTTCTTTATTGGAAACCTTCCACTCGGTCAACTCCAAGATCAAGTCCAGTGTCCACAGATAGCTCATATATAGGGCAAAGAAGTTCAGATAGTATAGCTGGCCGATCAGTATAAAGTCTCCTTGGGCATCCTCATGATAGAAGTGCGGTCTCCGCACAGAGGCGCCAAAGATGATCACGAACTGTGGGGGGACAGGCGGAGAGTTTATCCTAAGATCACTCAATGACAATTGTATTTTATAGAAAAATAATGGTTATTGTCGAAATATTGAATACCAATTTTACCATCCTATTTTGCTTACGCGAACAAATCACATTTTAAGAGTAAGAGTAGGAGGGAAGGATAGGGACACCCCATACGGGAAACCCCACACACTCACCACATTCGACAAAAGCATATATATAACCATAATGGGAAGCTCAATAAGGACGCGCTGCATCTCAACGGTGAGGATGATACCAAAGCATGTTAGCACAAATAGACGCTCACTCCACAGGATCACATTGTGCCGAGAGATCTGAGGACATACACAGCCGGTTAGAAATCCACTAGTTGCGTTAAAAATGCCACTTACAAAGAGGCCCCTTTTGTGACGCATTGAGATGCAGCCGTAGACAACGCTAATCACCATCGATATGATCGTGACCACAGCAGATATTGTGAGGCACAGGTACGGTGCATGTTTGGTTGGCTTCATAATGGAAATTGTGTTAATTTCGTACTAAGAAAGTTGGGTTACTACCTCTTCTCTTTATATACGATATGCTAGATGGCAATAACTCACTGTCCAGCCTCCAGCAAGGAGGCGTACCCATGTTGGCTTGCTTGCTATAATGCGGTAGAAGAATCCGTACATCTGAATGGTCATAAAGCTAATAAAGAACTGAACCAGGTTGAGACCGTAGCGTGCCCCCAGCATCTCGTTCAAGTTCTTGCTGCGGGGCAGAAGTGTACAAGGATAATCAGGACCACTGCCCGCACTCTCTAGTACTCACAACTCAACGATGGCAATGACCTGCATCTGACCAATGATCAGCATCAGGATGGTTACTCCGTAGGTGGGACCAGCCAGGCTCTTTTGCGGCGCTTTCGGATGTTGCAACATAATTTGGAAACCAGCTTCGGCTGGTTCTTGCTACTTATACACTGTTATAATTTGGGAAACGCTCTTTAAAGCAGGATCAGGAAAGTAAAATAGGCAGAAAAATAAACGCCAACTAAGCAATACCCATTTTTTCCGACCCCTTTACTTCCAAGTCTGGGGTCGAAAAAATGTTTTGGATTTAATTAAACGAAAAATAGGAACTGATTTAAAGCTTACACGTATAAATCGACATGACCAGCGGTTCAACTTAGTGGTTAAAAAAAATTATATATCCTAAATATAAACAAAAAATTAATATTTAGGTTACGACTGCTGTCTTCGCTTCATCAGTCTCGGGGAATTCTGGGAGCTTTGACTCCTTCTGCTCCTCGGGTGACTCCTCTGTCTTGGCCTGAGTTGGGGAAGGTGGCTGCTTCGCACGGCTCCTTCGGCTGGGCAGGAGAAGCCCCTCCAGGCCTCCCAGTGGCGCCTCGAAAATGACGTACAACACATAGGACATCAAGAGGGTGAAGCCAAAGGTGGCCCAGAAGGAGCACATCTGTATAAATAAGAAAACGATGTCCGGAGGATAGGTTATCTTACTTCTGGCTTCCCCACACTTACCACATCGTAGTCCGAGAAGTAAATATTCGATCGCACGCGCCTGTGGTTTACTTCTTGAATAAAAATGTGCCAAACATAGGCGGAGTAGGACAGCCTGGACACAGGCTGCCACAGAGGCGAAGAAAGGAAACTGTTGGCGAGGCCGCCGTATCCCTGGACGCAGGCGAAGACCACCCAGCACAAGGCCAGAGGCCAGCCTATTCTGGTCAAAGTGTAGAACAGAGCTCCCTCCAACACCGTGGGCGATGGACCCAACAGCTTCGCATACGGAAACATGGCAAAGAGCGAGGTGAACATCATGGCCAGACAGAGTAGCCATCCGGTCCACACCGCCAGACGGTTGAGGCGGAAATGCTTGCCACGGACTACGTACATGAAGTAGCCAAACAGAGTACCCACCAACCAGGGAGCCGCATGGTTGTGTGTGGCAGCGTATAACTTTTTCTGCACCTCAAAATCCTGGCCGCCATCTCTGTAGAGAACGAAGAGAGCGATTAGCTGGAGGCCGGACAAGGCAGTGGTCATCAAGGCGGGCTCACTTGGCAAGGATACCGTAGTCATTGATCATGATGGTGGCAAAGAGGCAGGCGGAGAGCAGAAGCATGACCACCAGGACCGCTGCGGCACCCTTCTTGCCCCACTTGTAGAGCCCGATCAGCACGATGGGTGACAGTAGGTATAGTTGCATGTCCACGGCCAGATACCAGGTGTGTCCAAGGCACTGAAAAATTCGAATTCAATCTCGTCGGGAAAACAATATGTGATCAGTGCCCAACTTACCGTATTATTGGTGGCATAGTTCTGCACATAGAGCAGTGTCCAGAACCAGGATTTTTTGCACCCAGAGTAGTCATAGAAGCCGACGTCGTTGGACACTGGACCGTTGGCCAGCAGAGGCAGCATCTTCATATAGACGAGGATGGCCAGGGCCACGATCGGAGTGAGGCGCAGGTAGCGGTGCAGGTACATTAGAGGCACATTCAGTCTCCCCTTGTTTCTGTCGAAGAATAACCAGATATACAGAATACAGTGGAGCTCCAGGGAATTCCCGATGGCATACTCACTTTTCCAGGGCGCGGAGACCAATAAAGACGAGCAGCAGGCCACTTATGAAGAAGAACGTGTCCACCGAAAAGGGGGCAAAAAGAATAAAACTGCTAAAGGGCTTCCCCATCCAACGCAAGCAGTATTGCTGGTTAACGGACAGCGCCTTCAGATACATGATGTACTCGTGACCCAGTAGCACCCAGATCAGGGACATGCAGCGCATGCCATTGAGGCACTGGATCACATTGGGAGTTGACTTGGCATCCACGATGGTGAACAGATCGCGGGACGTGGCACGAGCGGAGAACACCTTCACCAACCGGGGAAGCTTATCTGCCAGGCAGACAGGGAAGTCAGTTAATCCTGGCATGGAACCTCTTCTCAAGTACTCACCCTGGTCCGAGCACAGGAAGTAGTCGTAGAGAGTGCTCAGAGTCACTAGAGCACAGAAGATGGACAGTAACGCACTGGCGAAGGCAACGAGTTAGTCTTGAGAAGGATTAGGAAAGGATCAAAGATTACTCACATAGTGAAGATGGTGAGCGGCTCACTTTCGGTGGTCTTGCAGGACTGTTCATTGATGAAAAAGAGGTTGCTGAGGTCACCGATGCCCAGAAGACGCTGTAGAAGTTGCTTCATAAACACCTCCATGGTCTCGGCGGAGCAGGAGGAAGGCAGGCACATGGCGGTTCTTATATTGGTTGCCGACAGGATGTCTGCGTTGAAGCCCAGCCACTTGGCGATAGGAAAATCTATGAAGCAGTATTTCCCTTGATGTGGTGTGTTTCGCTGACGGTTCCGTCCACGCGGAGGCACTCATCGTAGTTGCCCATATCGACGCGGTTGCCGCTCAAGTAGCCCGAGGGCTTGTTGCCCCACGAGTCCAACACTGTGTTCGGAGGGATCACAAACTTGGGATGAAGGCTTCAATTGTGGGTTCTACTCACTGGCAAGGGCCCACAACTTGGGCGATGTCAGGCTTCTCATGAACTGTGTGATATCCGCCAGGCACACCAGATCCTGTTGGCCGAGCCGTCCATCGAGGAGGTGAAGATCAGAGGCGGAAATGTTCCGAAAAAGGCGATAGAACTCGGGGCCCAAGGAGGGCAATTCCAGAAGCCAATCGTAGCTAGCATTGGGATGGCTGTGGTAGATGTCCTCAAACCGAATCTGCCGGGAAGGAAGAGTGGCGTGTGCCACCGTCGCCAGGCAAATTAGGAGGAGGAAGGTAGTTACCGGCGTCGCACTGGCCATCCTGAGCTCTGCACCGTTGGCTAGCGAGTGTTTACTAATAGGCCCTTAATGCTTCAATTATATAGCCAATTGGAGCTAGGCGTATTCCCCGAACACTGGTTATCTGTGGCTTTACTACGAATGGATGGATTGCTGATCAAGATCTCTTATGTATATTTATAGCGACAGTCATAGACATAGCCAAGGTCTATCCAACCCACTTGAGTTGCTTTTTGGTGGCTACACTTGAGGCATTTAATGGAGGCTTCTCTGGATAGATAGATGAAACAGCTAAAAGGGGGTTCGAGGAAGTTCATTTAATCAAATCTAATTAGGATTGTGAATATATGTATAAAATTATGTTTATCTCAACCGCATAACTAACTTGCTTTTTCATCCTTATCGTTCTTTAGATCTACCCACTTGAAGAATGATTCATGTTTGAAGGAAGAAAATGTCTACAAATTGTTCAGCAGTGGAGATTCGTTCAAGTGCAAGTCTTCTCGTGGATAGAAAACAATACATTTTCTATTAAAAGTTATCCATTCAGCGTTTTGCATTTTTCTCTATTTTCAACGATCGTTTGTATAGCAGCTATATGATATAGTAGTAGTAGTATAGTATTATTAAATAAAAGAAATTAAACTAGTTCTTAGTCTACAACGACTTTTCCTCTGCTGCCTTTGGCGCATTCGCTTCCGCATCTTCAGTCTGGCAGAATTCTGGGAGCTCTGGCTCTTTCTGCTCCTCGGGGAACTCCTCCGTCTTGGCCTGAGCTGGGGAAGGTACCTGCTTCACAGGGCTCCTTCGACTGGGCAGGAGAAGTCCCTCAAGGCCTCCCAGTGGCCCTTCGACGGCAATATACATCACATAAGACATCACGAGGGTGAAGCCAAAAGTGGCCCAGAAGGAGCACATCTGTATAAATAAAAAAACGATGTCCGGAGGATAGGTTATCTTACTTCTGGCTTCCCCACACTTACCACATCATAGTCCGAGAAGTAAGTATTCGATCGCACGCGCCTGTGGTTCACCTCCTGGATAAAAATGTGCCAAACATAGGCGGAGTAGGACAGCCTGGACAGAGGCTGCCACAGTGGCGAAGAAAGGAAACTGTTGGCGAGGCCGCCGTATCCCTGGACGCAGGCGAAAACTACCCAGCACAGGGCCAGAGGCCAGCCTATTCTAGTCAAGGTATAGTAGAAAGCTCCCTCCAGCACCGTGGGCGATGGTCCTCGCAGCTTCGCATACGGAAACATGGCAAAGAGCGAGGTGAACATCATGGCCAGACAGAGTAGCCATCCGGTCCACACCGCCAGCCGGTTGAGGCGGAAATGCTTGCCACGGACAAGGTGCATGAAGTAGCCGAACAGAGTCCCCACTAACCAGGGAGCTGCATGGATGTGTGTGGCAGAATATATCTTTTTAGCCACATCCGGAACCTGACCACCATTCCTGCGGACAAAAAGAACCAGAGTAAGCATTACAGGGCACTGAGTCATCGGTGAATGAGCTTACTTGAAGAGAATTTTGTAGTCATTGGTTATAATGGTGGCAAAGAGGCAGGCGGAGAGTAGGAGCATGACCAACAGGATGGCTGCTGCACCTTTCTTGCCCCACTTGTAGAGCACGATCAGCAGAATGGGCGCCAGGAGATACAGCTGCATGTCCACGGCCAGATACCAGGTGTGTCCAAGGCACTGAAACCCGAAGAAGAACATTTTTAAATTAAGCATAACGAAAACAAACAAAGCACCAATCTGGCTTAAGATCCGAATCACGACGTAAACTCACTAGGTCTGTGGTGGCATAGTTTTGCACATAGAGCAATGTCCAGTACCAGGTCTTTTTGCACACAGAGTAGTCAAAGAAGCCAGCATTATCGTACATTGGACCGGCGGCAAGCAGAGGCAGCATCTTCATATAGACGAGGATGGCCAGGGCCACGATCGGAGTGAGGCGCAGATATCGGTGCACATACATCAGGGGCACATTCAGCCTTCCCTTGCTCCTGTGATCAAGATACACTGGTTTAAGGCAAACCCCAAGTGACTCCCTGTTTCATACTCACTTTTCCAGAGCTCGCAGTCCAATTACCACGAGCAAAAAACCACTGAGAAAGAAGAACGTGTCCACCGAGAAGGGAGCATAGAGGATCAAACTAGTGAAGGGCTTTGACATCCATCGAAGGATATCCAACGCGTTAATGGCCGCTGCCATAGCATTGATTGTGTACTCGTGGCCCAGTATCACCCAGATCAGGGACATGCAGCGCATGCCATTGAGGCACTGGATTACATTGGGAGTTGACTTGGCATCCACGATGGTGAACAGATCGCGGGACGTGGCACGAGCGGAGAACACCTTCACCAACCGGGGAAGCTTATCTGCCAGGCAGTCAGGGAAGTCAGTTAATCCTGGCATGGAACCTCTTCTCAAGTACTCACCCTGGTCCGAGCACAGGAAGTAGTCGTAGAGAGTGCACAGGGTCACCACAGCACAGAAGATGGACAGTAACACACTGGCGAAGCCAACGAGTTAGTCTTGAGAAGGATTAGGAAAGGATCAAAGATTACTCACATAGTGAAGATGGTGAGCCCATCAAGCGGCTCACTTTCGGTGGTCTTGCAGGACTGTTCATTGATGAAAAAGAAGTTGTTGAGGTCACCGATGCCCAGAAGACGCTGTAGAAGTTGCTTCATAAACACCTCCATGGTCTCGGCGGAGCAGGAGGAAGGCAGGCACATGGCGGTTCTTATATTGGTTGCCGACAGGTTGTCTGCGTCGAAACCCATCCACTTGGCGATAGGAAAATCCATGAAGCAGTACTTCCCCTTGATGTGGTGTGTCTCGCTGATAGTTCCGTCCACGCGGAGGCACTCATCGTAGTTGCCCATATCGACGCGGTTGCCGCTCAAGTAGCCCGAGGGCTTGTTGCCCCATGAGTCCAGCACTGCAGAAAGATAATTAATGGATGGGCTTGAATCTGAATGGTATGTTTAACTTACTGGCAAGGGCCCACCTCTTGGGCGAAGTCAGGCTTCTCATGAATTGTGTGATATCCGCCAGGCACACCAGATCCTGTTGGCCGAGCCGTCCATCGAGGAGGTGAAGATCAGAGGCGGAAATGTTCCGAAACAGGCGATAGAACTCTGGGCCCAAGGAGGGCAACTCCAGGAGCCGATCGTAGCTTGCATTGAGATGGTTGTGATACGTGTCCTCGAACCAGATCTGGCGGGACGGAAGAGCGGCCTCTCCTAGCGCCGCCAGGTTAATGAGAAGGAGGAGGGCAGCTCCAGGCGCTGAACTGACCATTGTTTGATTAACTACGTCGACCTGCGAGTGTTTTCTAATTGGACGTCAATGCCCCATTTATATGGCCATTTGGAGCTCAGCGTGTTCCCCCGAATCGCGGAATCGTTATCTCCACCGATGAACAAGTTGCTACGAATAGATTAAAGTGCTGCCAAACGTTTCTGTAATCCTGCCGTGTTTTTATATCGGTTCCCGATAATCGGAACTGGCGTAGCCAAGGTCCATATACACCCCACTTCAGGTTTTGGTGAAATTCGACATGGCACGAGCAATTGCTCAATTCCAATTTGAGATAAGCCCTCGAAGGGGGAAGGCACCCCGAAGGAGCCACCAACTGTCTGAGATCTATTACAGATGATACTTTATGTTGATCAGTATTATTTATATATAACACAGAAATATGATATGAAGGCTTCCTAGAAAACCATATCAAAAGTTATAACCAAGTAGAACTAGATTACTCCTTTGGTCATGCCCCAAGAAGGATAGCCTTGCTATTAGAACTAGACATCTTCTTACGGGGAAAACCTTTGGTAGTGATCTGGAGTTGAAGACTTTTAATAGTTTCCAGAGGGGGATTTTAGATTGATAATTTCTCGAGTTTGTGGGCCCTTATCAATTCGCTTTAAGTTGGAGATTAGAATTTTTGTTTTTATTATGACTCATACAGCTGCAAGAAATCGAAATAATGAAGCTGCGATGATGACCAATGCAGGCCCTGATGGGGCATAAACTCCAGATAAACGGGATACTTGAAGCATCTCAATTTGAGGTATATTTTTGCTACTTGCTACTGCAAAGCAGACCTTAGTAAGCGGGGGCCAAGATTAAAACTGAATAATTGCGTAGGGTGCCGCAAGGCAACATTTAAACTCCGGGGGATTTGCAAATCCATAACGTCCTGTCAATAAATGTAGAGGTACGTAGGTAGTAGCCTCTATTTAAAGCTCGTGGGTGGAGCTGCCAGTCCTGTCCTCGCTCCAATCCTCGGTTCCAGTATCGCTCAACACCTGCAGCCCCTTGAGCTTCGTTATGAGCAACTCGAACATCTGCGACGGCAGAGTGGCGTGCAGCGCCTCCATCACCTTATCCGGCTGGGCGCACAGGGCAACGGCGTTGGCAAAGTGGGTCAGGCCCTCGTCGACACGGCCCTGGGTAATCAACTCCTCACCCAGCCGCATCTCGCTGAGGAAGTAGGTCTCTGCAGATATTGGTTTATTCCCGTCGCGCGGCCCCTTCGGAGGTGAGCTTGCTGTCGACGATGGGGCCGACATGCGACGACGGCGCTCGAACAAGCGCTTTCGGAAATCAGGGCTCGAGCGACGCTTCCGGTCAAAGTACACGCAATAGCCAACGATCAGCGCGGCGGTCAGACCAAGGGATACGGAAATTAACATTGGTGGCGCCATTTTCAATTTGTATCAAATTTTGATCGACTAAAAGGGTGAACTTAAAAGTTTTTAAAAGCGACAGGTTCAGTATATACTGTATTTGAGGAGCACGGTCCAGTCGTTTCAAAAGTCTGAGTAATAATAACTTTGAGAATTTCACTTGCTGTGTCTCTAAACTTGTCTTCGACTCTAAAAACATGGCTGACTTGATTGGGAAACAACGCCTTTTATGTATTGATTTCGTTTCTTTATGAAGTCTTTATCCATAATCTTATAATAAGCAACAAAAATAAACAAAAAGGTGTATATCTAGCATAATTTCGAATATGTACCTTAATTAATTTTAATCAGAAAGGCAAAGGAGATTCCTAGGCTGGCGCTGAACCTTCCATGAGTGCATCTTCTTTGACAAGAGACGATTTCACTAGATCTTCCTGGACTGAAGCTTCACCACCTGCAACTGGAGCATCCCTGGGCAACCCAACCGGCCTGGGATTCGGTCTCTTTGCGGGCAGCAAGAGACTCTCCAGATGGGCAAACGGCGCCTCCACAAGGATGTGCATAAGGTAAGCCAGCAGCATAGTGAAGCCAAAGTCCGACCAGAAACGCAGCATCTGGACATAAGAGTGTTATAGAAACATGTATGAGAGCGACTGTGAACCGAACTTACCACTTGGTAGTCACTGAAGTAAGTGTTGGTGCGCGTAATGCTTGCGTTGAGGCTCTCGATGAACATGTGGAAAATGTAAGCGGAGTAGGAGAGCTTGGATATGGGCTGCCACAGCGGTGAGGAGAGGAGTTCGCTGGCCATGCCACCGTATCCGTGCATGCAGGCAAAGACCACCCAACAGAGACCCAATGGCCAGGCAATACGGGTCAGGGTTACATAGAAGGCCTCCTCCACAATAGGCAGGGTATTCTGTCCATAGACGGCAAAGATGCAGGTGGCTAGCAGGGACAGGCTCACCATCCAACCCACCAGGACAACGAGGGGACTGAGCCGGAAGACCCGACCACGGTTTAGGTGCAAAAAGTAACCGAACAGGAGACCGATCAGGTACGGCGAGGCTCTAGTGTTCGTGGCATAGTATAGCTTCCGCATAGACTCGTTGCCCTGGGCGCCACTGTAATAGATAGAGAGAGGAATGCAATTAGGGATTTAATCCCAATCATTGCGAAGTATAACTTACAGCGAGAGATCATTGATGACCATGATGCTGAAGAGACAGCAGGCTAGAAGCAGCATCAGGACAAAGATGCCAGCAGCCGCCTTCCTGCCCCACCTGTACAGGGCAATCAGCAGGAAGGGGGCAAAGATGTACAACTGCATGTCCACCGCCAGATACCAGGAGTGACTGATGCACTGCAATTAATTGGTGATAAGATTCGTGAAGCTCAAAGGAATCAGGAGCACCTACCAGTTCATTTGTGGCCACATTCTGCACGTAGAGGAGAGTCAGGTACCAAGTGTCCTTGCAGCAGCTGTAGTCATCAAAGTTAACGTCTCCCTGCAGAGGACCACTGCCAATGATGGGCAGAATCTTCATGTAGATGAGTATGGCGACGGCCAAGAGCGGAGTGAGACGCAAGTAGCGATGCAGGTACATCATCGGTATGTTAATACGTCCCTTGGTACGGTCCATGCTCCGCAGGGCAATCACCACCAGGAGCAGGCCGCTCAGGAAGAAGAACGAGTCCACGGCATAGACCCCGTGCTTCACAAACAAACTGAAAACAGAGTTGATCCACTAAGAGAGAGAGAGAGTGAAAGCAGGATTAGCTACAATCGTATATTCGAGGAGGAGGAGAAGATGACACCTACCGTGAGCACGTAGCCCATATTTATATTGGGTGATATGGCAAACACCAGGTAATCGTGACAGAAGACCACCCAGATGAAGGACAGGCATCGGATGCCATGCAGGCAGTCGATCACATTCGGATTCGACTTGGTATCCACAAGCCGGAACAGAGCCCGGGAGTTGGCTCTGGCAGAGAAGGCCCTCACCACTGGAGGGAGCGACTCTGTAAAGCAGGGATTTTCATTTAGATTGGTCTCTCCTGATCCCCTTTTAATACTCACTCTCATCCCGGGAAATGAAGTAGTCGTAGCACGTGGACAGGCCCACCGCAGCAGCTAGTATTGAGAGAAGGACTCTGCAAACATTTGATGGATGAGCAACAGATCTCGTTGGGTTACCATCTACCCCTTACTCACATGGTAAATATGGTGAGGCCATCATAAGACTTTGACTCCGCCGTCTGGCATGTGGCCTCGTCCACTATCTCCACTTCTGTGCCAATCTCCACATTGAGCAGCGTCTGAAACAGCCGGCGCAGCAAAGTGTCCATGTTGATGGCGGAGCAGGAGGCGGGAAGGCAGAGCGCCGTTTTGATCACCACAGCTTTGGAGATGCTTGGAGCGGGTAAAATCTTGGCGAAACAGTATTTGCCTCTGACATGGCGAGTCGTGGTGACGTCGACGTGATCGATGCTTAAGCACTCGTCAAAATTTCCCAGATCCCACCAGTTGCCAACGACAAGGCCAGCCGGCAGATTGCCCCATGAGTCGATCACTGGAGGAGATGGAGAAAGGCTCACTAGTAACAGTTCTAGGGTCATGTTCGGATCACTCCTACTTACTCTTTATCGCCCAGACCTTGAGGTTGCTCAGGTCCTTTGTTAGCAACGCGAAGTCCGCCAGGCACTGCAGGTCCTGGGCCGATGGAATTCGCGCATCCTGGTTCCCTGGACGGAGATCCATCAGGGTAAGATTGGAATAATGATCGAAGAACTCCACGGCCAAGCGGCGCAGCTGGGAAAATGCCAAAAATTCTTTGGCATCAATTTTATCCTGTAGCCCTTGGCCAATGGCATGCTCTTCGCCAAGACGGGCCTCCACACCAGCCGTGCAAAGCAGCGCCAAGGTGCTTATCCATAGAGTAGTCACAGCCAGGCTAACCATAGTTCCCAGTCTAGATGTCAAGAGCATATTGTTGGGCTCGTGAGGGCCACACCAGTGTTTATACCATGGAGGTCTTCCCACTGCCCATGCCGATAGCAGCCTTATCAGACTAGACTTCAAATTCTGGTTAAGACTAAGCTAGAAATCTCCATATTTAACAGCTTATCGGTTATACTGGTAAGCAAACTCGTTAGCCACCGATTGGGGGTCATTCCTTGTAGCTCAAGATAATGTAGGTGAAATATGCCTGCTTTAATATGTCTCAGTTTTGGATTCAAAACCCTCACTGTAATATATTTGGAGCCACTTGAGGTGTAACTGTATGGCCACTTGTAGTCCTCACAGCTGCGTTCTGAGTAATTTGACGTATCTTTGACCATTATCGCCGCATTACCTGACTCACGAACGTACCGTGTGATTACCGTCGAGGGGCTGTCTGTCTTAATCACTGACTAACTTCCCAGGAGGCCGATTCAATCGATCCGATTCGGTTGGTTATAAATTCAAATAAATGCCAAAGCATCTCGGTTATATTCCAATTAAATGGCTAATCTAATAGCGAAAAACAATTTCGTTTTCGAATTTTTGTTCCGGGAAGTCACTTCATTTTTTGATAGCCATAAAAAATATTAAAGGTGAGATAATCACTTTCAAAATGACAGATAATCTGAACTCCCACTTAAGGGAGAACTACTCGTTTTTCATCGGTTTTCCTGGGAACTATGGGTGATGGTTGCTTTTGGCTATCGCAGCGATGTCCGATTATGTTGTTCCTTGAAACAAACAAAGAAACAAATAGATACTTTGCACTAAAAATAATAATACCTTTCAGTTATTTTGAAAGGTGCTTGAGCTTTGATGGATCCCTTATGCGAAAGTCAACGTTTGCTTGTAATTCCCGGTGTCTGAGATTTAGGACTTTTTGCTATTCAAAATATATTAAAAGTATTTTGTTTTAAAATATTTCTGAGCACATATTTGTATTAAATTTCATAAATTTATATAACCTTGCAGAGTATTATTATTTAAGTCGGAAGCTTATAATACTATGAAGAAGTCATTTCCGACCCTATAAATCATATATGTATATTCTTGATCGGCATCAACAAGAGAGTCTGTCTGACCATCTCAGGCTGAAAAAAATTGTTTAATTTTTTGAAATTTTATAAGGGGTTACATCGTTAAAATTTTCAAAAATCAAAAAAAAATTTGGATTTTTTAAAATAAATAAGAATAAAGTATGCAGATTTATTACCCTTTAAAAATCTAACACAGGAATACTTTCCGGATTTTAACTAATGCATTCTTGACAAAATTATGCATTTTTAAACAGTGGTTCTTATAAGAAAATGTTATCAAATAAAACGGTCGATTTCAAGAATCTGGCAGAGGAAAATATAATTTTAATCGAAGAAGGAGTCATTTCCGACCCTATAAATCATATATATTCTTGATCAGCATCAACAGGCAAATCTTTCTGACCATTTCGGAAAGAAAAATTTTTTCTCCATTTTTTTCAACATTTTATGGGGTTAAAATTTTCAAAAATTGACAAAAAAAATTTTTTTTTTACATTTTTAATTGAGTATGCAGATTTATAAACCTTTAAAAAACTAGCACAGGAACGCTTTTCGAATTGAAATCAATGCTTTTTTGGCTTAGTTATGGAATCTTTAAACTTTGATTTTTTAAAAAAATTGTCAATTTACAAAAATTAAATTTTGTTGAAATTTTCGAAAATTTTAACGAAATTCTAAAAAATGCTGTAAGATATTTATTCTTGCAGACATGGCTAGATCGACTCGGCAGATCAAGAATATATATGATTTATAGGTTCGAAAACGACCTCTTCACTGCCTTTTAAGAATTTGACTAAAATTATAGGAAACATAAAGTTATACAAATATTTCAATGAATTTTAATTGTTGTCTAAATTGTTGTTTAAATTTGTTGTCTTTCTTGACTGCTGAATGAAGCAGCGTCGCACCAATTAACTGATGAAGCAACATAGAAAACGAAATATTCGTTGACGGGTCTAACGAAAGACATGAAACAAAACGAACGAATATAAAATAAAACTTTCACTGGAATGGGGATATTTATGATGAGGAATGCTAGTTATTCTTCATTCTTGGGAGGAGAAGAGAAAGAGCCAAGTCTCTTGGGTAATGTAACCATAAAAAGGTAACTTTAATTACCTAATAAATATAGAGAGTATAGGGAAAAGGCTTGAGGCTGAAGATTGTCATGATTTGTTGGAAAATTAATATCAAACTCCAAAAACAAATTACTTTTTAAATTAAAGGTTCTTTAAAAAGCAAATTTAAAGCTTAAGGCCGTCAAAGTTTCCCATAAAAACTTTTTATACTCCCTATATTAACTTGTTTTTAGACAACCCTTCAGCATGTAAACTTCCGCACACGTATTCCTCGCACACAGCATAAATGTGCCAAATTATAGAACAAATATTTTGTACGACAAACAGCGGATATTTATTTAAATGAGTGTATCCACACATACAGTGCGTTTCATAAATGTAGGGTAATACAGAGAAACCATTTAGTAGATGGAAATATTGAAAATTGTAAAGTAAATCATTTAAAATGCTTGAAAAGTAATTCCTTGAGTAAACAACTGGGCTCCAGCTCCAGCTCTAGCTCTATCTCTAGTTCCCTCCCTCTCTCTCTCCCTCTAGCTCTAGCTCTAGTGCTAGCGCTAGCTCTAGCTCGCTCCCTCTCCCTCTTACTCATTTGGTATGCCTCTGTGCATCTCTAGAGGTGCCTCTTCGCTGCCTTTCTCTGGAGAGGGCTCTTTCCCTCTCGCTCTCAATTTCTCTCGGGAAGTATAAATAGAGGTTCTGGAGTCGCGCGCGATTCAGTCTGTCCTAGGGGTACCTAGCGTTAACATCTATGGTGAAAGTGATAGTGATAGTGCAATTCGACTCCAAGAGGACGACGTGGCCTATGGAATTGATATGGATATGGATAACCAGGAGGAGGCCCACCTGTTTACATCTCTGGTGATAATGATAGTGCACATCGACACCAAGAGGACGACGTGGCCTATGGAATTGATATGGATATGGATAACCAGGAGGAGGCCCACCTGTTTACATCTCTGGTGATAATGATAGTGCACATCGACACCAAGAGGACGACGTGGCCTATGGAATTGATATGGATATGGATAACCAGGAGGAGGCCCACCTGTTTACATCTCTGGTGATAATGATAGTGCACATCGACACCAAGCGGATGACGTGGCCTATGCAATGGATATGGAGGAGGATCACTTCTTTACATCTCTAGTGATAATGATAGTGCAATTCAACTCCAAGAGGACGACGTGGCCTATGCAATGGATACGGATAATCAGGAAGATGCTCACATGGATGATACCAGGAATATAGCTCTGCACTGGAAGGCATTACCCAATGACGAAAATGGATAACCATGTGTCCTCCACTTGGGTAAGTCCTAACCATGATTATTATATTATGTAGATAGATAATTTAAGAGGTATCAGGTTTAAATTTAGAATCAGTAGTATGCAGTATGCATTCCAATCGATTCCCTTAAAGTGATGAAGCAATTTGTATTAATGATATCTACTCAAAGTTAACAGCCTATCTTATTTATAATTTGCTCACAAATATTAATTTCTTACCACTACTTTGCTACTTTTGCTATATTATTATATATCCTTTTAGGGTATTATATTTTAGTCAGAAGCTTTCAAATAAGTGAAGGAGTCATTTCCGACCCCATAAATCATATATATTCTTGATCAGCATTAACAGCCAAACCGATCTAGTCATGTCTAGTTAAAATTAAAATTTTCGTAACTGTTGAAAAAAAAAATAAAAATGTTGAAAATATTATAAGGTGCATCATAAAAATGTTAAAATTTTTTTTTTTTAATTTAAATGGTGTATGTAGATTTATTAACGTGATAAAAATTAACATAGGAAAGCATTCCGAATTGAAATTAATGCATTTTTCGCTTAGTTATGAGTTTCAAAATTTGATTTGTCCAAAAAATTGTTTATAAAAAATCTGTATGTAAACTGCACGCTCTTCGAAGGTAGTTTCCTTTCTTCCTTTTACTAACGAAGGCATTATATATGTATGTCAAACATTTCGGGAAAAATATAATATATCCCTACACATGGATGGTACAGATGAAAAATAAAGATCAAATATTGGGTAAAATTAAAAAAGAAGTTTATTCTTGAACGGCATTGGTGTATGACATTTATCTCCTTATTGAAAGCGTGGAGACTCAGAAACTGAAAACATGTTCAGTTTAGTAAATTACGAAAACAATCTCAAAAATAAGAACAAAAAAAAGCTTGTTACAGATCAACAAAGCAAGGCCAGACTGAAGAATATTGCTCGCTTCACTAATTTATATACTGAATGAATTGGCCTACTTTATCTGAATATTTTTGGTACTAGGATATCGGAATTATGATATTGGAATCGGTTCACGAAGTCCTTTTTCTCTTTATGCTGGGGAATATATAAATTCTTGAAAACTTATATTGTAGTTTATTTATATTAATTTATAAATAAATGTTTTTTGTTTGTTTGTTTCCAAATACATAATGTTAAGCTTATGCACACGCTTATTTTTATACCCTTGCAGGGTATTATAATTTCAGTCAGAAGTTTGCAACGCAGTGAAGGAGGCACCTCCGACTATATAAAGTATATATATTCTTGATCAGGATCAACAGCCGAGTCGATCTAGCCATGTCCGTCTGTCCGTCTGTCCGTCTGTCCTTCTGTCCGTCTGTCCGTCTGTCCGTCTGTCCGTCTGTCCGTCTGTCCGTTTCTACGCAAACTAGTCTCTCACTTTTGAAGCTATCTGAATGAAACTTTGTAGTTAGCCTTCTTTATACTCTCACTCGTATATATGTCGGAACGGGCCGGATCGGACGACTATATCATATAGCTGCCATAGGAATGATCGAAAATTTTTACAAAAAAAATTTTACTTTTTCAGTTTTCAATAGAATTGGATCAAATTTGAGATATAGCCATTTTACTATACTCTACAATTTTGCATAAAATTTATGAAAATCGGACTACTATATCATATAGCTCCCATAGGATGATCGAGAAATTAATACAATTAAATTTATAACCTTTTCAGTTTTCAACTGATTTTCATCAAATTTTAGGTATAGGCATTTTATATTAGTCTTAAATTTTGTGTCGAATTTCATGAAAATCGGACTATTATATCATATAGGTGCCATACAAACGATCGTTTGATGTAGAGGAAAAATGCAAATCTTTGAATGTAAAACTGAAAATATAATATGTATAGGTGAATACAATGAAAGCAGGAATTACTTCATTGTTTTTTAACACAAATATATATCATATATTGTATGGTTTTTATTCATAGAAGTTCTATTTGCAAGGGTATATAAACTTCGGCGTGCCGAAGTTAGCTTCCTTTCTTGTTTGAAATTCATATGAATGTATGAACTCAGTTCCGCATAAACAAAGTAATCTAAAGCCTGGTCAAAGTTTAAAATCAACGGTCAAGATATTTACCAAAGTTCTATGTGCATTATGGTTTAATCGAACATTTTGTAGTTCTTGGAAGTATTTTCTTGAATTTAAACTGTTTGCAACCATTATGTGCGCACTTATGGTGAGTACTTATGCAGAAATCCAAAATACTTTATAGAAACTACTTTATATGACGATAAGCACGATGGATTCAAGGAAGACGGCATCTAGAACAGATCCGCACAATTTCACCCTGCTCCTATAGCTCTTCACTTTTCATTAATGCGCAATTATACTAGATTAAGATGAATCAGGAGTTACCTTATGGTGAGTCTACAATCTCCAGACGAATCTCGGGCAAGCAAATCGTTCCCGATCGTCGCCTTGTCTAGACTGGCGTTATTGGTGTTAGATCGGCATTATCGTCGTTTCGGCAGAAACTTTCGGTGGTAGTGGGACATATCCCTGACACGAAACGGACTTGGAAAGATTATTTGTTGATTACAGCGATTCCTATTCCGATTACGGTTCCGATTTCTATGTCTTAATAATGATAAGGCGCTCGGCAGAACCATATAAGAACACAGACGAGGGCTGCTGTCCAAACCAAGCCATTCATTACCACCGACCGGTAGACATGGTCAACATACGACTAGTTATCCAGCTCCTGCTGTTGTGCTCCGTGGCACTGGCACTGGCCAGCGGCAGCGTACCTCTGAAGGATTCCGTCGAAGGCTTTCAAACTGCTGCCAGGCTCGGACGCCTGGGCGTGGAGTTTTTGATCACTTCCAAAACATAACACTCGATGACCTTTCGTATGATCGGCTGGCCACTGCTGAGGATCTTAAGTGTGTATCGGACCTCGCACTGCTCACCAATGGTCTTAAGTCCTTGAAATTTTGGGCGCTAAAGAGTAAGTTTCATAAAATCCTTAAAAACACAAAAATAAAGTTTTTTTTCAGTGATCGACTCGTGGGGCTCAGTGCCTTCGGGCATTCTTACCGGCAACCTCATCGATCTGGGAAACTACGACGAGTGCCTCCGCATAGACCATGCCGTCACCAGTGGTCACAGTATCAGAGGCAAATACTGCATCGCCAGATTTGCAATCCTGCCAAACGTGTCGGCGCTTTTGGCCCTGAAAACAGCCGTCTGCTTTCCAGCCTCCTGTACGGCTGTCCACATGGACACGATGCTGCGTAGACTCTTCCAGAGTATTCTCAACATGGAACTCAGTCCGGATGCGGCGCTGGTAAACGAGGATACATGCCAAACTGCCGAGAAAGAACCATTTGATGCCCTCACTATATTCACCATGTAAGTGCCCCCATAAGATCCCTGGATACATACCTTGAATGTCATTGAAAAACTTCCAGTGTGGTGCTCTCTATATTGGCTGCCCTGATGGTCCTGTCCACGCTGTGTGACTACTTCCTGTCCCGAGGTAAAAAGACTGAGTAGCTGACCTTCCAGCCCGATAGTCTTTGATTAACATACATATTTGCAAATTCTTCCTCCGGTAGACCAATCCCTCAACCCATGTATTAAGGCATTCTCGGCACGCGCCAATTGTCGAATCCTCTTCCGACTGGTTGAGCCCGGAAGTAATCCGAATGTCATCGACTGTCTCCACGGCATCCGCTGCCTGTCGTTTATTTGGGTTGTTTATGGACACGTTTACCTCGTGAATGTCTTCGCTCCCAATCTGAATTACGCTGATTTGCACACGGTAAGTTGATGGAGAGTTTCTATAGTATCTTGCTAATACCATTATTTTTCCATGGACAGTGGCGCAAGTCGGCGTACAGCATGCTGTTGCAGCATGCAGCCTATTCGGTGGACACTTTCTTTTTCCTGAGCGGCCTACTCCTGGTAGTGATAGCCCTAAGAACCATGGAGAAGTGTGTACTGCATGTTCTTTTCTAAAAGAATGGCCACTAATTCTTGGGAAACTCATTGTTTGCAGGACCAAGGGAAAGCTGAACGTACCCCTTATGTATCTGCACCGCTACTTGCGACTCACGCCGATCCTTGCAATGGCCATCATTATATACATGAAGATCCTGCCGCGCGTGGGCGATGGCCCCCTGTACGGTTCCGTGAACTTCGATGACTACTCGCAGTGCGAGGACACGTGGTTCTGGACACTCCTGTATGTGCAGAACTATGCCACCAATAATATCGTACGTCCCTCCAGCTGATGAACCTTGGTCTTCTCCAGATAACTATCCATCTTCTTGCAGTGCTTGGGTCATTCCTGGTACCTGGCCGTGGACATGCAGCTCTACATTATCGCGCCCCTGCTGCTGATCGCTCTCTACAAGTGGGGCAGAAAGGGGGCCGCCCTGATTTTCGTGCTTATGCTGCTCCTGGCTTCCTGTCTCTTCACCATGATGATCGTGAAGAACTTGTCTCTGTAAGTAGTCAGAAATTGTACTTGTACTGCTGAGGAGCGCTAACGCTTTGATCTATCCTGTAGGCTGGTTCAGACCGACGTTGCCATGAAGGAGATTTACTTTTCAACTCATACGCGGGCCTCGCCCTTCCTCATTGGAATCCTCTTCGGCTACTTCCTGCACGTCAATCGTAGAAGATCCTTCAAGCTTAGCCGCCCCGCCGTCCTGCTAGGCTGGCTGGTCAGCCTGTCGCTGCTCTTCACCTGCATATTCGCAGTCTTTCGCTATGCCAAGCACCTGGACACGCCGTCCATACTGGAGGAGGCCTTCTACCTGACGTTAACGCGCATCGCCTGGCCGCTGGGCCTCTGCTGGCTGGTCTTCGCCTGCATGCAAGGATATGGTGGATTGGCCAACAGCTTCCTTTCCTCGCCGCTCTGGCAACCGCTATCGCGTCTCTCCTATTCCGCCTACATCTTCCACATGTTCATTGAGACACTGAATGCCGGCCTCACGCGCACAAACACCTACTTCAGTGACTATCAAGTGGTGAGTTCCGTGTCCGAGTGTTCCATCTGTGAATTGACTAAAGTTGATTTCATCGTAGATGCTCCGCTTCTGGAGTGACTTCGGATTCGTGGTGCTCCTTTCCTTTGCCGCATACATCCTGATCGAGGCACCCTTTGGCAACCTGGAAAGCCTCCTGCTGCCTGTCCAAAAGTCCACTCCCCCCCTACGGTGAAGGTGCAACCAGTGGAAAACAAGGACGCCGTCTCTACAATGCCTGTTCCGCGTCTCGAAAAGAAGTCGCCACTTCCCCCGTCTGATGGTGTTTAAAGAGCCTGCAGGCAAATAGATTTAAATAGTAATTCTGAGATATTTATATAAAATTAAATCACTTTTTTTCTATTTATTTACTTAAATCAACATAAATGCACTTGTATGTTTGTATGTAATCGATCACTCAGAGCGTTTGCTCAGACGAGTGTGTAAAAAAACACAGTAAGCCAAGTGCTGAAAGAGACACAACAAAAAGGAACGCCAAAGAAACAGTTATATTTTACAGTTGCAGTTTCGCTAGTAGTGGTCTCGTTATTACCTTATTTTTTCTTATTCCATTACACTTTTCGGTGTTTCTGTATGCGGAGTTCATGTAAAAAAGAGAAGCAAACAACGACAATCCAAATCCTCCGGGTGTAAGGCAATATTTCAGCTGTCATGCCATTTCAGCCATTGGGATGCGAGAGGAACGTAGCGATTCGTGAGAGCAAAATGGAACACACATGAAAAGAGTACGGTTTTCTCGGTGCTGCCATTCTTGTTTCGCTCGCGCCGCCCGCAGTTAGTGTTTTGTTGTTGGTCGCGCGAGTTAAAAATTTACCGTTTTCGTTGCCATTATTTAATGTCGTACATATTAGCTGTATTGCTTCTACAAGGTCACTCTATATAACATTGCGTGTAAGTATAAAAGTTGAATTACACGAGGTGAAACTGTTTCATTTTCCAATCTTTTTCATGTGTTTGAATGCCGACAAAAACAATGCATGCATACATAGATGCGTGTGTGTAACCATTCAGGGTGGACCTCAACCAGCGTCCATTAGGCTGGACCAAGAGCAGTCAAAATAAATAATAAATTCCACAGAAAATTATCGATGAATAATAATAAAAATTTATTAATAAATTTCAACTACCATGAATGTTGTGTCCAGAAGCAGCCTTTGGCGTATGGCCAAGCGGGAGAGCGAGAAGGCTAATCCTTCACAATCAATGGATGATTATGACGATATGTTTGAGCCCAATTACCAAGATATTCCAAACAGCACTAATCATAAATCTGTTGAATCAAAGGCGGGCTTTTCTAAAAATTTGAATAATTTAAACAAAAACAGCGGCTTAAGTCAGACTCAGTTCGCTGAACTCGCAAAGGCTCTCACCTCTGAAAATGAAAGCTTTTCCCGAATGGAGGAGAGAATGGATAAGATGGAAGCTCAGCTTATCAAGCTGATCGAAACAAGTACCAAATAATGACTTCGGTGAGGAAGCTGACTGAGCGTCGAGGACCACCGAAAACAGATTTTCCCTGCAAAAGCATCGGGGAACTCGATGAAATCGAAGCAAAGGTAGCCGCAGATCAATCTAAATATGTAAGTAACAAATATGAAAAGTAACAATTTAGAAAAACCTTTCTCAAATTATTAACCTTCATTCAGATTGAACTGTTCCGGGCAATGCTGGCCCCTGAGGGTGTTTCAAAGAACCTAAATAGAATTCTTACAACAACAGTATTGATGGAAATGAACTATGGAGGAACGTGCTCTAAAAAAGGCCTGACTTCATATGTTAACCTAAACAATGCGATATATGGTAAGTTGGCAGAACATTCCCATTTTGATTTAAAACTAATTTTTGATCTTTTCTTAGAGTCACAGCGAGCTGATGGTTACACCTGGGGGGACTACGCCAAGGATGTCCGCACAGCTTTTTCGAAATTGAAAAATAGAATATATAAGGCTACTAGTAAAAGTAAAAAGCGACGTAGAGCGGCAATGGGCGACGACTGTGATACCGATAACTTTAAAATGGAAACGAACTCGTAACATTCAACTTATTCAACTTATTATTATTAAATTTGTTTGAGTTTCTTCACGCTACTGAAACAGTGTTCGCATGAATCTATGTACATATGTCAAAATACAAAGTGTACCACAAGTTGATATACGCATTAAAAAGCCTAATGGCTTCAGTTCATCATTTAGAATAAAACATGTCTACTAAGTTTAAACCATTTTTCCATAAATAAATATAAGCATAAGTATGTTTAAATTCAAAACACTTTTAACGAGAATGAAACATTAATATAGGAAACAAACAATCGCACTTTAAATTTAAGCTGGTACTTACACATCGATATTAGCTCAATCGTTCGTTATTCCATCAATATCGATAGTAGGAACATCAGTTGCGATAGTCCAAGAACAATCTGTAGTGCCAAAAAAGCCAAACCATCGATACTATCGATAGCGACATCGGTGTTTTGACAGCTCTACTGTCAATTTTCTTTTCCTTTCTTTCCGGTCTCTGCTCCATAGAAGACGCAAAGTACGTTAAAAGCTAAAAGTAATCTTGAAAATAAAGTGAAATCCGTCTATGTGAAAAGCGAAACAAACCGCCACTGCAGGCGCCGTCTGACGCTGCGGCCGCTGCAGTGCGCGTTGTGTGAGAATTTGTTTACGTTTTCGGGTTAATCGCAGAAAAAGCGCATATACCCCTTCCCGAGTCGGGGACAACAACAACCATAACAAAGCCGCCGAAGCTAATTATTTTTTGTTACTTATTTTTTTTGTCTGTGCAGCATGTTCATGCCAAAGGCCCATCGTGTCGCTATCTACGAATACCTCTTCAAGGAGGGTGTAATCGTGGCCAAGAAGGACTTCCACGCCCAGAAGCACCCTGAGCTGGAGTCGATCCCCAATCTGCACGTCATCAAGGCTCTGAAGTCTCTGCACTCTCGCGGCCTCGTCACGGAGCAGTTCGCCTGGAGGCACTACTACTGGTACCTCACCAACGAGGGAATCGAGGAGCTGCGCAGCTACCTGCATCTGCCCCCCGAGATTGTGCCCTCGACCCTGAAGCGTCCCGCTCGCTCGGAGACTGTGCGCCCGCGCCCAGCCGCTGGAGGCCCACGCGGCCCCGGAGACGCCTCCAAAACCGGCGAGGACCGTTCGGCCTACAGACGCGCTCCCGGTGGCAGTGGTGTTGACAAGAAGGGTGATGTTGGACCCGGCGCCGGTGAGGTCGAGTTCCGTGGCGGATTCGGACGCGGTTCCCGTAACTAAGTCACTTGCTGCGTTTCAGTTTTTTTATGTAAAATTAATTCACAGTAAAGAAACTAATGTTGAACTGAAGATTCCCCTCAACAAAAACAACAAAAAATAAGAAAAATACATCAGAAATGTGTGTGTTTTATGAATGACCATCCAATCCAATTATAAAACAAACGCAAGTGAATACTTGATTTTTTTGTTTGGTGATTTGTGTGTGGTGTGGTGTGTGCGCACGAAACCAGGATTTAGACACATTGGGCTACCTTGTTATGGCACAGAAGACGGATCCAAGAATATAGTTACCAGGAGAATGCGAGAAGCTTACAGCTTTTCGAATTCTACTTTTGCACATCGAGCGGAGCTGGTTGGAGTCCAATAAGTGGATTCCAGTTTGGCAGTTTGCTTGAGGATTAGCTTTATTTTTTTGTACAAAAAGTAGTACGTATTAAGCTCTGCCGTGATGGGCCTTTCATTAAGGCAATGTAAACTGGCTTGCACGTGCTGGCCATTTAAATGGGTTTCCCGCCAAGTCCAGTTCCATTAAAGTAGCTCGGATTGGGCTTATGTACCAAATTGGTAGTTCATCAAGTAAGATCTCAAAAAATTGCTTCCAAGCAGTTAAATTGGTAAACATAAGTAAAGGAGTACTTAGTGTCGGCGACATAGGATAACCCTTCTTTCTTTCCCGACAGCTCACTTAATTCTTGAAGACTCGAGACGAGAATTTGAAGCAACTCCCGGCAGCTGGTCGATGTCCATAGGCCAAAGGAATTCCAAATTAATAAAAATGAACGTTTTGCATAAAAAAATTTGTTTGGTTTTTATTTACAATTGTGTCCCTTAAAGGGAGGAGAGTCATTTAGGAGTTAAAACATAATAAATACAAATAAATTTGTGTACTAGTTAAAACACATAATTGTGCTAGGATCAATATTAATTATTTGCACGAAGATTGGGTTTGTGGGCCTCCAGAATGAGTCTTCCTCCCTTAATTAAAATGTACACCTAAGCTAAGGCTCCGTCTACGATGTCACTATTACTATATTCACGAAAATACTTTCTCGGACCCGGGATCTTGAGAGGACCGATGGCCGGCGACGCTCCGAAGGTCTCTTGGCCGTGCCAACGACGAGCCAGGGCCAGGAGTGAGATGAATGCGCCCGGCCCGCTGACGCAGCTATCGACGCTTAATCGATATTTTCCCCTTGGCCAAATGGGACATGTTGATCTTAACCTTGCTCTCGTTGGTGCGCTTCACCCAGACCTGCAGTGGTAAAGTGTATTGATTAAAATCCAAATAGGTATGCAGAACAAAGACAACACTTACCACTTCGTTGCCGATGGCCGTAATGGTGGCGGCAAACTTGCTCAGATCCTTGCCTTCAACATAAACCTGCTGGCCCCGACAGAACCATCGCCTCTCGTACAGCAGCTTGTTGTCCTCGATGCGCGTTTCTACATAGCTATTGTGGGCCGGCGAATCGGCCAGCAAACTGTGCATCTGTTGCTGCTGCTGAACGCCACCGTACGAGCCAAGGCCGTTCTGTTGCAGGGCATTGGGCGCCAGGGGTTTGCCGCGCTGAATAATCTTGAGATCTGACTCGATCTCCTTGTCGTCCAGCTGGTAGACGAGAAGCTGGCCGGTGGCAGGCTTGCGACGCTTTTCGATAACCGGCAGCGGCTCGTTGGGTCGCCGTCGCAGCTTGCGCGTCACTGTTGTCTTGATTTCCATGGAATCGTTGGTTAGCTCCAGGCTGTAGCGCTCGTTCTCGATCTGTCGCTTGCGGTCCTCAAAGTCCGAGATAAGGTTGTCCTTCAGGTCCATCATCTTCTCGTCGTACTCCTTCTGGGCGGCCTTCTTCTCTAGCACATAGTCCCGCTCGACGCAGTCACGCATGTAATCCTTGTAGATCTCGTTAAGGCGCCGCCGCTCCTTCAGCTGATTGTCCAGCTTCTTCACACGCTTTATGTACTCTGGATGCACAAGCTGGTTCAATTCCTCCATCTGTTTCTGCAGATTGAGCAATTTGTGCTGATACATTCTGTAGAATGGTAGGAAAATTAAAGTATAAATGGATTCTTGGCAAGCATCTACAAATATATGTTTGTATGTATGTACTCACTGCTCCTTTAGTTCGCTGTTGCTGCCTATGTTGTTGCTGTTGGCGGTGCCATTGGTGCCGCCATAACGGTTGGGGCTGCGGAACTCCGTCTCGCTGGCATCGTCCGTGTCTGCAGTGGTGCAGGAAACGAAATATAAGACGTACAATTATGTGGAATAGTGTCATGGGAGTGGAGTGGGAACTGTTGGACGGACGCGGTCCCGCCATTGCACGTACCTTCCTCGCTGCGCTCGTCCCCGATCGACTCGTCGTCGTAATTGTCTCCCGTGTACAGGCTGTAATAGGCGGACATAATTTGCAGTGATGGGAAGGGCCAGGAGTCCAAATTATTTTGTGGCAATTGTTTATTTTCTTCGCGATGGCTGATGAATACACACGCACACAGATACTCGCCAGTGTGCCCGCATTGGGCAAAGCCGGGCTGCCAACTTAAATAATTAAGAGAGGAGAAAATAATGTCCGTCAAAATAGCGTCGATGAGTTAGAGTCGAAATGGAACAGTGGGAAAATGGAACATGGAGGGGATCTTTAATTTTTAATTTACTTCGTAATTAAGGCACTAATTCGAATACAAAAAGTTTCGAAATGCTAAAAAAATAAATTTATTATTGTTTTTATTGGGTTTGAAAGTATTTGAGTTTTGGATATATTTAAAACAAACATGTGAAAAATCGTGTTTTCACAGATTTCTTAATATCTCGGCTAATCAAACGCGTGCAGCAATACCAGCAGATACGCCAAAATAAAGGACATTTATTGCAGTTTTACCCTACCAAGTTTCAATATCTTCAAACCGTCAGTTTTTGAGCAAATCGCATAACAGCGACTTAACCTCGGGTTCGGCTCCGTACAAAATAGAGCATAAAAAATTGTAACGCTTATAACTTCGATTTACGAACGCGTGCACATATGCACGGTATACACTATACCCGTATATACTACGGGAAGATAAGCGAATATTTGTTGAAAATTTCAATTTTTTTAACCGTCAGATTTCGAGACAATCGAATTACAGTGGGTGGTGTATTTAGGTTGATAGCTTAGGCGCGAACTATGAAATTGGAACCAGCAGAGAACCACTCGCTGAACCAGACCATGGAACCATGAACCATGGAACCCACACCCTATCGATGAATTCCTATTGACCATTTACACAATTGTATAAAATATGATGCCCCATGAATGGAATTGACATTCCAAGCATTTTGGTAGATGTTTCATCAAAATTCGTTCAGCCATTCAAGAGAAAACATCACTTTATCATTTATTTCCATAAATGTTCCTTCGAAGAATAAATATGTCTGGTAGCACTGCCTGCCTAAAATTAAGTCAATTTGATTTAAACTTTTTTACAAAACTTATGCAAAATGAAGATCGTACCATTAACGGGATCGCAATTCTTAACATTTTGATCCACGTTTCATTAATATCGGTTCAGTCGTTGATGAGTAATCCCGACATTTTCATTTATTTCCATTTATGTACCGGTGAAATTTTAATATATCCCGCAGCCCTGCCTGGCTTAAAACAATTAAACGTTATTGAAACATTATGGTTAAGCTTAAGCAAAAGGAAATTGTTTCCATAGACGGAAACGCAGTACTGAACATTTTGATATATGTTTCATCAAAATCCGTTCAGTCGTTCATGAGAAATCCCGACTTTTCATTTATTGCAGTTGGGTACCAGGGCTGCATAGTCATGCCTCCTTTGTATATAAATTAGTAATTCAAATGTTAATTTCTCCAAAACGACTGAACGGATTTCGATGAAACACGTACCAAATTGCTAAGAATAACGATATCATTTATTGGTCAGACTATTAAATGTTATTTCGAAATTTTTCTTCTCAAATCTAGTGCTTCAATGCCCTTGCTTTGCAATATGATTTCAGGTCAAAAATTTGCAACACAGTGAATAAATTATATCCGACCCTATAAAGTATATATATTCTTGATCAGCATCAACAGCCGAGTCTATCTAGCCATGTTCATCTGTCTGTCTCTTCAATTACAAGCAAACTAAACCCTTATATTTAAAGCTATCTAAACAAAACTTTGCAGTTGGTCTTCTATAAACTAGTTACTAGTGTATAATGGATTTAAATGTTCAGAACTACAGTGCCGGCTATTCCATTGCATACATACGTCCTACCATTAAGTTTAAATCACATTCTTTTATTTAATATTCTTCGTCGAACATAAACACATACATACATACATACATTTACGGCAATAAATGAAAAAGTCGGGATTTCTCATTAACGACTGAACGGATTTTGATGAAACATATATCAAAATGTTCGGAATTGCGATCCCGTTAATAGTACGATCTCCATTTTGCATAAGTTTTACAATAAAGCTTAAATCAAATTGACTTGATTTTAGGCAGGCAGTGCTGCCAGATATATTTATGAAAATAATGCAAAACTGCGGTTTTCTCATTAACGACTGAACGGATTTTGATAAAACAACTAACAAAACGCTTGGAATGTCAATTCCATTCATGGGGCATGCATATTTCATACAATTGCTGTTTTTTTTTAATTTTTATTTAATTTAGTATTTTTCTTAATATGGTTCCATGGTCTGGTTCAGCGAGTGGTTCTCTGCTGGTTCCCATCTGGTTCCATTTTCATAGTTCGCGCCTTAGTTATCAGCCCAAATACAAGACCCACTGTTATTCGATTTGCGATTTGCTCATATATAATTCAAACTTAATCACAAATATAAGAATCAGTTGCATTGTTTAATTTTGAAATCAAAATAAGCAGGGTATTATAATTTTAGCCAGAAACCTGAAACGCAGTGAAGAAATCATTTCGGACACCATAAAGTATACATATTCTTGATCAGCATCAAAAGCCGAGTCGATCCGAGTCGATCTAGCTATGTCAGATCAAAATAATTTTTTTTTTGTTTTTTAATTTTGAAAATTTGATCGTTAAAATTGTTAAATTTGGACAAAAAATTGAATTTTTTAAATTTTAAAATTCAGTATCCAGGTTGGTTCACCTTTAAAAAACTAGCACAGAATTGCTTTCCGATTAAAAATTAATGAATATTTGGCTGAGTTATGATATTTAAAAATTTGATTTTGCCAAAAAATAAGCATATAGAAAATTCGGTTTAATATACATAAAATATACATGTTTTAGGGTTTCTTTACGAAGGCCAAGAAGCTAATATCATACTTTGATTTGTAACAAAATTATTAATCAACAGGGAACAAAACATTGGAAAAAAAATTTCAAAATGTAAACTTAACTTAATTGGATTTGAAAACTACATTTTTATATTATAACTAAATTTTTAATTAATTAAATAGACCTAGAATAATTGTCTATCTAGTGAAAATACGGCATTCTTAATATGGGGGTATTATGATTTATTTTCTATGTATGACGCATGTTTTGAAAATCGTGACTATGACGGCTATATGATATCATCGAAATTTTGCAACATCTCATGATCTTGCTGATGCTAAACAATGCTTTCACAATTTAAGAACGGGAACAAATTGCAGTCAAGCAGATGAGATATTATTGGGGATTATTCGCAACTTCTAGAAAGCGCGCTAAATATTCAGAAAAGCACAGATAATTTGTAATAATAAAAATAAATACTAAAAGTATTCGCGTTAATCGTTAAATTTTAGGGCTGTCACTATTAGGACATCCATTTAAAGCGAAAAATTGTTCAAATTGATTTGTGTTCATTCTCTGTCTATAGTAATATCTGTGTGCTACACTGCAAAAAGATAATACGTTCATTAGGGCGGACCTGTTGAAATCAAAGAGTCTTAAATATTAAGTTTGTATACCCTAGCAGTTTTATCATACAAAACATCATTTAAGCAAAAAATACATTAATTTAACTTTGGTAAGCTTTCCTTTTGAAAATTTTAACGATGTAACCATGTTTTAAAATAAAATAGAAAATTTTAAAATTTTCGGAAATTTCCGGAGATGCCTAGAAAGATTCGCCTTTTGATGCTGATTAAGAATATAAAAGATTTATAGGGTCGGATACGACTCATTCACTGCGTTTCAAGCTTCTGACTGAAAGCATAATACCCTGCAAGAGTAAAAATATAGGTGTTGGTAGTTCAATAAATTAATTTTTAAATAATAAATAATTTCAAGTGCTGTCAAGACTGTAAAATTTGTATATTCTATGAAGTCCACCCGCAATGTATTTACCTATTTTTATAATTTTTCTCGGCAGTTGTTGCAATGCGTGTACTTTTGTTTGAAGCCTAACAGCACTTGTGCCTCTCAGCCAAAGCTGACACATAGCTAAAATGCTGTCGTCAAGCAGAAGCTATGCCAATAAAGAAAAAGACCCAGGCCCGCCCACACAGAAGAAGATCTCGCTGTTTGCTCCTTCACTAGCCATTTGCCCAATCTGAAAAATTAGTGAATTTTCAACATCATCATAATCATCGGCCAAAAATTCCATGCTAAATCAACGCGGGGCAAATTTTGATTGATTTCTGACTGGGCGGGGGCTCCGGATGGGCGGACTACGGACTGCGGACTACGTAGTCTTCGAGTGGGATGACATACTGGTGAAGATGACTAGAGCAATTATATACATACTTATATGTCTGTACATATACGCTCGTTCTGTTTCTGTTTCTGGCTTTTGTTCTCCGTATTTGCAGCTTTCGAACATTCTGGTGACGTGGGGAAAATTTGTTTTCCCAATATTTCACAGATCCCCAAGAATATATATGTTTGTACATATATTCACCAAACAAAATCAGTCTCTTTCTCCAAATGTTCTTTATAAGTATTTGTACTTTGTAACCAAAGTTAAGCTTCTATTTGATGTAAACAACAAAAAGAATTATAGAACACTTCAGGTTACAGAGCACAAACTATATTTGAATAATACAAAATTGTTATCGGATAGAGAACTGGTACTATATTATTACGGAGATTTGTATAATAGAATCAAAATCAAATCCGAATTAGAACGGGCTTAAACACTTATCATTCAGCTTTATCGTATATTGGAATATCAAACTATTTTCTAATTTCATAACCATACATTACTTTTACTTTCTATCAAGTAGAATAAGCTAAGAACATACAAGATCATCCTCTTCAAATATAGAAGTTTGTTTATCTTGTTGATTATCCGTATTAGCAATTTATGGGTGGCATATATTTGTTTTCGGTTCTCGGTTCGTTTATATGTAACACTTGTTATGTACCCAAGACGATATTTAGATATATGCGTACACCTGCACATAGCAATAGATGGATATAGATGCGTTGCGTCCGCATTATTCTTTGCTGATTAGTTGGGGATTCTGTCGCAGCCCAAGGTCGACAATTTCGATGAAAATGAAAATGAGTTTATTGTTTGGACAGGGGGCATTAGCGGTGTCGCGTCCATATGGGTGTTG